TGCAATAGCAAAGCATTGGTATCATACAACTTCAGACATAAAGGCCTTTTTATTTTTGCGATTTACATACTTCGAGGCACCAGGTAAAGCTACTTGTCGTGTTTGCTCCTCAGACCACACCTCTGTCGACCATGTCTGCCCGGCCACTTGCCCCCTCCTGGGCTCTTTTCCTCTCTTCAGGACATGTTCCATTGCTCCAGCCCTCCTTTGAGCCTTATTATCCTAAAAGCAGGGAATAGGCATCATACTCTACCGCTTAAAGCGAAATCCTCCCCTACTGAATAATTCTAAAGTAACAGTGCTGTATCTCCCAATTTAAAAAACAGATGAGACGTGTTTTGAACACTTGTAAGCGGAATAATTAGTCTGACGTAAGATGGTATTGGGTGAATTGACATGAACATTATTTAATTAGCACTCACACATCGCTGAAAGAATGCGTTTATGTTTGCTATTGAAAGTGATTAGATTGGATGCCAGATCTCCCTCGGGCAGTCGCATGCAAGTTCCTTTGAACTTTGCTCGGGTCGCTGAGGCGTGTGGAACTACAGTGGGGCAGATGCGAACGCGTCTAAATAATCCCCAGCTGAATTCAAGAGAGATGGAGGCGCACGCAAGCGAGCCGGAGCACGAAGAGGCGAGCAGAAGCACATACATGCAGCCAGAAATTGTATATTGCATTTGCCAAAACCAACAAATCATTTATTCTCAGTTTATACATTTTTTACTGAAAAACCAAAAATGTGCGCTCAAATAAAAAAAGTCCATTTTACTTGCCATACTACACATTGAGTGTTTACAATATAATCAGGAAACAAATGCATTTCCACATGTTTATCTACCTGGTACTCCACACGGGTGTGTTATACACTCAAACACTAATTGAGATAAAACACTGCAAACTCAACTTTCTCACAGAACAACTCTTGACTTCCAGCCCCTCGCGGACACATTGTGAATTAAACATCGTTAAAGTTATTCATGTGGGAATTTTAGTAACTTTTTTCCAGTTTGAGTCTCACAGCTTTAGCAGTGAACAATTATTAGAAGAACGGAGCGATTCAGACACAGTTCACATACTGAAAAGCCTCGTCCTGCAATTGAAATCCATACCAAGTCCGTGTTCCAACAGAACATCTCGTCTGTATGGAGCAGAACGTCTCCTTATAGTTTATATAACAAGCTTGATGTATTTGCAGGCGGCAGACGTTGGGTTTCTAAAGATTTTTTCCCTGAAACACAAAACGTTTTACTCTGCCGGATGCCAACAACGAAAAGCAACATGCCAACATAAATTAGAAGTGAAGTTCAGCTGATGAGGACTAAAGCTGGATAATGTTAACCACTACTTCCAAGTACTACATGGAAAGTAGAAAAATGACCCACTGCAACAGTGTCAGCAGCACCTGTTTGCAATCTGAACTACTCGCACAGTGTCACAGGAACGTACGTACGTGTGTGTGTGTGTGTGTGTGTGTGCGCAGGCGGGAAAATTGAAGAGCCTCATGATAATAATCAGTCAACCGGCCGTGTGCTGTAGCATAATGCCAACTTGGTATTCCAAGCACATGCACGCAGCAGACTATGAACCCACAAGGACGGACACGTCTCATAAGAAGCCCAAACAGCCTCCACAGTACTTCCATCTGCAGAGCCGGTTGGTGTGTGTGTGTGTGTGCGCGCGCCCAGGGCTCACTAATCTTGGCAGTCATCGCAAATACCCCGCTGGAACCATCCATCAAATTCTTTGTCCTGCACGGACACACACCAAGAAATACACACACCATTGACTCCCGATTCATCATCAAGTCAAGTCAAGTCAAGTGTTCAACTTGCAAAGTGCCTCCTTTACCCCACCGGGGTATCAGTTTACTCCACCAAGATCACACCTGAGGCCCATCTGCATGCAGCCCATCTGCATGCAACACACACACACACACACACACACAAGATGCAACATCTATGGTACATAAGGGAAGCAAAGTGAGCAAGGATGAGCAGGGATTAACCTTTACTGACAAAAACTAAAGTTTCCCTGATTAAAAACAAACGTAGGTGAAAGCAGCGTTTTCTATCGACTGTGTGCCTAATGAAATCTTTACTGCACAGGTGGATATAATGCATGTGTAAGTGTTGGGAAAACTGCAATAACGTTCCACCTTAAGTCAGTACTAATTAGACGACAGAGAGTCTGTGCTCTTTCACATGGACTCACATGGTGTTCTGGGTCAAATGATAGCAAGATGTTTGCGCGTTGCGGTTTATTATCTTGTGGTGCCAAAGATGATCGTCTACATCCGAGGTCGATTACCAGCACTTTGTTTTTGCCCAGAATCCCACCGCCTCCTTTCAGCATGTTTAACTTCCAAATTCATTAGTCCCGCTCCGTAGATGGAGACCTCCGAGTCCTCTACAATTCTGTCTGTTTGCAAACAATAAATATCCTGTTTAATTATCTTACATAGGTGTCAAGTGAGAATAGGCTACAACTGTGTATTTGTTTTCCACATTCGAACATCCTTTCTACATTCTCTAATAAAGGACCAAGTTAAAAAGTTTTGTTTGTCCTTTTCTCCTGCATGATGTAACATTGTGAACATTAAACCTTTTAAAAGACATTGGAAATATTTCTAATCAAAAACAGAAGTTGCCTATGATTGGCAATATGGTTACTGGGAATTGAAGTTGTGACCTATTTGCAGTGAGCAAAGAATCAGTATACAGTAATCTGATTTAGTTAAAGTCTGACAAGAGGGCCAGAGACACTGCGTTCCAATACATTCCTAAGATTTCAGCAAAGAGCCAGACAAATATTTACATGATGCAAGTAAGCAGGTCTTCTTTTCCTGCCTTCCTCAGGACTCCGGTTTGGAAAATGCTTTTTTTTTTTTTAGGCAGCAACAGGCTTATCAAATCTAATACAGGAAATAACTAAGAGGCAGAGTAGATAAAGCAATTACAGCGGCGGGCCTCCTAAGGCCCATTTGTCCTTCGACGACAGGAACGCGTGTCCTCTGCCGGGATTTGCAATCCATCAACGCGTTACATAACTATATTTGGGGACAGTTCCTTCCAGCACAGTTTACAGTTGCACTATTGCACTCGTATGGCTTGAGGGGGACGGACCGGGAAAGAGGAACATGCCGTTCTATGCTTTCTCCCCCTCTTGGTGACAAATGAGGAACACTTCCCTCTTGCAGTCTTGATGTTTTCCAGAGTAAGATGGTGTCATTACAATCTTGTGAGTGCTTCCTGTCAGAGGAGGTCAGGCTGTTGATCTGGAGCAGCCGACCAAAGACAAAGTCATGAAAGACGCTTATGCTCAGAAGTAGAACCGGAAGGAAACAGTACAACTCAACAGTGTCGCGTCCCGTTTCCAACTTCACTTGTGTTACAACGCATGTGACTGACTTTTGTAACCCTGCCAAACTGAAAAGCAATAAAACTTTAAATGAAAAATATAATTATTAACTTTTTCCATCTTGGGTGCTGTCCAGCACAATTTGTCAAATGAAGAAGATTAGATTACTTTAAGCCGTTAAATATTTAATAAATATTTTTTTAGGAGCTTGGCCAGCTTGGAGTTTCATAAAAAAAAGTTGGTTTGAATCCAACACTTTCTTCCGTACGTTTTTGGAATGCAGATTTTCAGCAGCTACATCTATCCACATATATCTTAAAGAAAATGACATAGTGACAATGAATCTGGCACAATTGGAAACAAATTAGCATATATGACATGCATAAATGGCAATAAACAGAAATATCTACTTATGAGTGTTCTGGTTGCTATTTGCTCTTCATTTTCATACTTTGAATACTCGCTATAAGACGGTGGCACCTGCATAATTTGCCTAATGAAGCGGTCGGCTTGTCAGTATCGTGGCTCAAAGTGTTGCCTCACCGCACACTTCTTCATTCTCAACTCTTTCATCTTCTGGACGTTAACGTCCTTAGTGACAATAGGCTCCATTTGCATTCAGTTACATTAATCAGTCACACCGCTGAGAAAACAGAAGAAAATGTTCCAGAGATGGAGCAATTTGTTTCATGTGTTTCGTTGCAAGATGCCATTTGCATGATGTATCGTCAGCTACGGACGTACACACTGGAATAGAAAGAGTTCATTTCAAATAAGGACGTGACAAGCGAGCCGTGAAATGCAAAGATAACAATAGACCGCTGCGGCGTGCGACTGTTAAAGTAAACAATACATTAGACGTTGGTTAAATTTGAGATAGCAGTCCAATAAAACATGCACTGCATTGTGTGATGTCTGTATACGTATTGATAGCGACATAGTTCAATGGAATCCTACTGCTTAAAAAGCTGCACAGCTCGATGGAAACAGCAGCGATATAAATAGCACAAATAATTTTACAGACACACTTCTTAGTCGCTCCAACAAGGTTGACTAGTAAATGAATACAATGATATTTCCAATGATTTGGTCTCAAAGTGTGGAAATGAAAGCCTGTTAGAATGAATAAATTAAAAAAGAAAAACTACTCAGAATTCTTCTCAGCTGAGAGATTATAGAAAGATGTGCAAATGTAGTTACTGTGACAGACATGAAATACATTTAAATAATTTCCATCATGGTCTCACTCACACAACCCCCACAGCCTTGAACATGCTGTCGGATACTTTTAAAGACACTAATCACCAGATGAATAAGTAAAATAAAGTCTGTGGGATTTGCTAAAGACTGCTGGCACACACAGAGCATGACATTTTAATTTGGGTTTGGACTGTTTTTTTGGTATGTGTATAAAATACATTGCTTCTTGGTTATTGTTCAAATGACTATAAATCCTAATTCAGTTTAAAAATCATGAAACGGCATGCAGACAAAAAAAAACAATGCTCCAAGATGTGTCCTTAAATAAATTTTCTTGAAAAGGATGTTTGAGCACGATGTAGCAGCCGGGATTCTCCCTTCCAACACCACTTTAAACATGTCACCTGTACTTGGCAGAATAGCAAGTCGTGCAAAAAAATGTCAAACCTGTATCCCAAAAGGGCATTTATTCAAAAATACATGACATTTATATTAAATCTCCCTTGACGCCAATGCATGGAGCTCGGTATGGTTAAAATCAGAGGGACATAGAAAGGCAGTAAAATCAACACCACCACCAACTGTGCAGAGTTTCCAAAAATAGCATTTCTAATTAGCTAGCAACAGACATGGCATTCGTACCAGCGCACAGCAGTTTACACGGCCATCATCAGCAGTCACATGACGATAACAATAACCAAAGCACTGATGGTTGCGATAACCAATCCAACTCGATGGGGAGAATAACACACAGACGACGCAGTCAAGGCGACCGAACGTCCCACTCAGTACGTCAACCCGTTGTTCTTTTGGCTTCCTGAGAGCCACACACCCTCTGCCAGCTTCTTCGTCCTCTCCGAGAGCTTCCACTCAGCCCGGTAGCAGAAATCATCTCTCTCGGCGTCCGATTCCACCAACTCAATCCTCAGGAACGTTTCTTTCTCCAAGATCAACGAGGCTAACGCGGAGTCTGTGGCTTGTCTGGCTCTTGGCAGTCTGGGGGAGGAGCGAGAAACCCAGCGACAGACGGCCGGGCCGCTCCTGACCCCTCTGCTCCGAACTCTCTCTTCCGTCACCACTGTCACTTCCCTGTCGTCCGAGGTGCAAGCACTCGAAGAGCTCTCATTGGTGGACTCGGAGCCGGCAGAAGAGCGCACGTCGTCTGATTGGTCGCCGTCCGCTTGGTAGGCTAGCTTCCTGTTGCTCTGCCTGTTGATGGACAGACAGGGAGGCCATCGCATGGCGAGACATCTCGTCATGGCCAGCCATAACTGCTGAGGCCTGAAAACACTTGACCTCGGAGGTTGACTTGTGTCACGACAAGCATCCTGTTCCAACCGCATGCATTCCGCCGCCAACTCTGCCTCCACCTTCTCGGTTACTCCGTCAGAGTTCTTTGGCGACGGTTCTTCTTCTTCTTCTCTCTTTGGCCGAGGCTGATGCTCTTCCTCAAAGCTGAAGGAGCTGCTGAAACCCTGACTCCTCTTCATCGCACTTCCCGCCTCCACGGCGAACCCGCTCGGCGAGTTTGCATCGGGTGAGCGTCCACCTGGTGATGGCTGATCTCTATGATCCGTTGACCGCGGCTGTTGATTCTCTTCCGACTCAGAGGAGCTGCACGCCCTCTGGACTTTCCTCATAATTGCACAAACAGGTCGTCCTTCTTTGCCTTCATGCGTCAGCTGCCTTTTGACGCTTAGAATTAAAAAAGGGTTGTCATCAAGGCTACCGAAACAACAACAACAGCCGCGGCTCTGCTAGCATGGCCCTTTCTGACATAATCTCTGCTTGAAGAGGCACAGCTTTGGCTATGGAGATGGGCAGTGATGACGCCGCGGAGTCATGTGCTCACATGCATGCACACACACACACACACACACACACACACAAACACACACACACACTGAAAACCCTGCGTGGCTATGTGTTCACGCTCCAGTCGAGTGAGCGGTGACTTGCCTCAGAGGGAAGTGATGTCACATTACATGATGTCATACTTAGCCGCAAAACACGAGTCAGCTATGGTCTGTATTTTGTGCAAGAACCCAGATGGTACAAAAGATGCCCTACCCCCAAAATTGACCTAGATGTGCAAAAGGAGTCTTGATGAATGAATATCGTTTTTGTTTTTTTGCCAGCTATTCTTATTCCAGTTCTTCTACAGCTATTGATGTATTGGTATCCAATCCAAATAGAGTACATTTTAAGTACATGTTAGTAGAGAAGGTGGACTGTGTTTACATAATGGTGATGATCAGTAGTCTAACATAGTCAAAGTTGATGGAAAATGTTTTCCCTTTGTAGAATTTAATGTTAAGATGAGTCATATTATTCACACGGTGGATTGTTTTTGTTGCTGCGGTTTACATTCTCTATGGAACAAAAAAACAGGAATGCACCAGTGTTTCGGTTTTGTTTGCCAGGCCTTTCTTGCGTTGCGAATGGGCTACAAATAAATTCCATTGTGCATCTCTGCATTGCGCAATATCAATTACATCACATTGGCACGTATGTCTGTTGCTGTATTTTGGAGGGCGATGATGATCAGACACCAGCTGTATCACCTCCGCGTTTGTCCGCTTGTGTACCTGAAGTTGCTCCATCTGCAGTACTATTGCAGCTCTTGAGTATGTGTGTCAGTAAGTACCTTCTTTGACACGCGGACGGTGGATACTTGGTCACTCGCTATCTTCCTCGCTCTTCCATTTATGGTGATAGGACGGCTGTTCAGGCGGCATGTCTCTTTGTGCGTTCAGCGTACACCTTCTTGCATCAGCTTGGGGCAAAGGGACACCAGCCACAGCAGTCTCCAGACCTGACCTGACCTTATTGCACACAGAAAGACACACGTTACAGCTGATAAGTCTGGCCAGTCAAGAGAGAGCGAGAGTTATAAAGTTGTAAATCAGAAACAGATCCGAACACCTTCACAGTAATATCAGGTGCAGTCGCATCACGTTCCTATAAACACTTATGCTGTGGATTGCGTGGCATCAAAACTCATTTTCTCCTCCACAACGGGCCGATCTAAGTGGCTTAGACTCTCACATTTAAGGAGCATTTGAGGGGCGAGTGTATTTTAATAATTCCACTTATTAAACACACAAATAGGACTGCCTGTCGTCATTACCACCACTCTCTTTTTCATTGACTTGATTGCGTTTAGGAGCTCCTTCCAGGTCACGTTGAAAGTTACAGTAGTGGGTGAGCACAAAAATATGGAGAGACACGCCTGCGTTTTCCCCAAAATGTCTCCTGGCAGACAGAGACAGGGCCTCGCCAGTGTGTGTGTGTGTGTGTGTGTGTGTGTATGTGTGTTTTTCTGCAGTGTCTCCTGACTGATGAGGTCTCCTCCTACAGTGGAAATCAACACTCTTTGTTCATGAATAATACACCGTTGAAGAGATGAGGATGAATACAGCTTTAACTATTGAAAAAGCCTCTATAAATCATTAAAGTTGTATAAAATAGAGCTGAGCAGTACTTCACATCACGTGAGGCTCGGCCGTGGTGGCGAGAGGCCAAACCGCTTTCTCCTCAATCCTTTTATCATTCCATTACTCTCCACGTCGGCTCCTCGCGACCTTTTTTTCGTCTCCTTGCCAAAGCCCTTAGCAAATAACTTCTATTTAAAAACAGAAAACTGTCATTTTAGCAAAAGGTGTCATCGATTCAAGGACACAAAGCGGTGCTACAAAAGCATAAACCGTGTGGAATCTGTGCAAATGGGCCGGGAAACAACATGGCCAACTCGACTTTAACAAAAGAAAAAACCGGCAGACGAGCCGGTGGGGTATTTCTGGACTACTTTCTCCATACATTATTCACACAAACCCGTACACGGGGCCATTCAACTCACCCGAAGGTATGCTGAAGTTCACCAACATGTCTAATTCATTAGGAGCAGGTGAGTTGAAAAGGCACATTTTAGTGAAATGCGTCGAGCGAGCCAGACGAGGGCGCAGTGGACTCCTCGCGCTTCCGCTCGCGGGGCGACGAGCTCGAGCCGCATACGGACGTAACGCGACCTCTGATTGGTTGGACTCCCCCGGCGACGTTGTCAGACTGGCCGCCGTTGGACGGCTGGAAGTGGGCGGGTCCTCACGGGGCATTTCATTGATATAGCCTACAGCTGGTGGCTGCGGACTCGCCATAAGGACTGGAAGGGCTGTGGAAGTGACGAAGGCTTGATGTAGGGGTTGGTGGTTTTAAGAAGGCTCGAGAAGTGTTTTATTGTTATTTTTTTTAAAGGGTGGCACACCAAAGATTCACAGAGTACACAGCCAAAATGCTCTGTCACGTTACTCGGCCGGATTCGGTGGTGATGGAAGTGGAAGTTGATGCGAAGGCGCACGGGGAAGACTGTCTGAATAAGGTAGGCTGTGCTGGAATACACCGCACGTTTTCTCCAGGATTCCTCTCTCAAACACCCTGTCATGGTTTGCCGGTGCAGCAGTGCCCTGGTTGTCTTTTGGAGACTGAAGCTTTTCCGTTTTCCTAAACTTCAGCTCGATCGCGTACTTGCGACTCAAGCTTCTGCATAAAGAGGAACACCTGAATAAGATGTAATCGCTGCACGACTTATTTATCCCTGTGTAGCATTGCGTTTTCTCTCTCAACAAACCTTGCGATCCATCTGCTTTGTTGCACGTTGAGACTGCGGAAGCTAAATTTCCCGTTTTGCGCGACTGAAAAAAAGAAACGTCTTTTTGCTACGATGGAACACTTTTTAAAATATTGATTTATGATCGAAAACGCACGGCTCGTTATAACTTTGGAAACGTTTCCATGCATCGGTTCAAACTGGTCACATCTACATGCATGGCTCACTTAGTTGGGGGCGGGTGGCTTTGTCAAGGTTACTTGAGTTCATTCTTCTGCTCTTGCGACCAGTCAAAGCTCTTGCTCCACTCAAACAGAAACTTCATTGAGAACTAAACCGGTCAGATATTCACCTCCATTCCCTCCAACGTGCACACAATGGAAGAAAAAACCACACATTGCATGCACCCTCCAATGGTTGTGGTTTTACTAATAAAGTGTATTTAACGCTGCTTCAAATGCACAGCGAATCCCCAACTCTGCGTGGGAAGAACGGGTTTTATCTCAACCCCCCTGCAGACGGGCACTGAATAACCCCACGGCCGCCCACGGGGCGTGGGAGTGTGGGTTTGATGAACCCTTTCACCCCGGAGGAGGCTCAGAGTTTACTTCCACTCTATCTTTATCTAGCTTCATCATGTTGATGGGCTTTGTCCGTGCAGCAGTCGTAGGAATGAGGAAACACAAGCCCAAATGATGATGAAAGCGATAACAGCGGCCTTGTTTCTTTCCTGGAACTTTGTTGACTCCTGTTTTTAGGGGGTTCTGTTGATTCTTGCCACTTTTACTAATGTGGATTATTGTATGGCTAACATTACCCTGTTCAAAATCCCCCTTTCAAAAACACCCTTCACCTCTCTCCAGGTTTGCAGAAAGTTGGGCATAATTGAAGCGGACTACTTTGGGCTGCAGTTTACGGGCAGCAAAGGAGAGAACCTCTGGCTGAATCTGAGGAATCGCATATGCCAGCAGATGGACAACGTGACGCCCTGTCGGCTGAGGCTGCGGGTCAAGTTCTTCGTGGAGCCCCATCTCATTCTGCAGGAACAGACGAGGTGTGTTTACCGAAATCGCGCACTTCCTTTGTGGCCGAGCGCCTGCAATATTTGCATGTTGCCTCCTCTGGAAGCGCTCAGTTAGACCTGACTGATCACGATGCGCAGCGATCAGCACGTGGCCCAAAAAAAAAAAGAAAAAGAAAAGTACTTTGTTTACCATACAGTAGAATGCCCTCCAGTAACCTCGTCCACGAGCCCTTCCGGGGTTACTAAAGGTCGTTTCGCTGGAGCACCCTGGCAGGAAATGTGATTCATCGGCCCCCGGGGGCTGTGTGTTGCTGTGTGCCCGCCCCAAGAGACCATCTGAGGGGCAGCCAGGACCTCTGTCACTGCCCCCATTCAACTGAAAATAACTTTGGATGTGCTTGTTTTGTTTTAATTGTTTGTAGCCATTTTTGTATGAACAAAGACGCGCTGCTGCATTTGGTTTTTTTTGCAGATGTCGTCTGGAAACTGTGACCGCATAGGTTGTTTTCCCTCCCAAAGGTTATTTTTCTCTTGTAGAAACGGGTCACATATAGCAGCTGGTTTTCGTAGAGATACAGTATTTCCAAAAAATGATTCATTTGGACACTCAATAGCCAGTCAAAACTTGGCATAGGGGTTAACACATTTTAGTTGGTTCGTTTAAATAGAGAAAAACTTTTTCGAGACAAAGGTCCCCACCGGGGATGAGCCGGGTTTTTGCTTTTTTAAAGAGCTTTCACCGCGTGTGTCTGCGTGTGTCCGTGGGTGTCCCCCCCCCCCCCCCCCCCCCAAACCGGCAGTGCCACGGGGGGGGGGTTTCCCACTGCAGAGTTGGAGACCGTTTGGTCTCTTATTTTAAACTCCTCCACGCTGCTCTTGCCCTCCCACTCCCACTCAAAGGCAGCATGCCACTGGAGCTGTGGATTAAACTGACACGTATCTGCCTCGGTCAGGATTTGCTGGGTAGTCCAGTGCGCTCCCAGTTGCTCCCCAGTTCGCCCACTGTCCCATCGTCAGCTGTGCTTTATTCTACTGCCACATCTTTATCGCTGTCGGGTGTGAACCTTCGGCTCCTGCAGTCCTTTTTGAAACCGCTTGAAACAAAAAGTGAAAGGCAGCCGGAGGGGGGGGGGCTTGACAGACACTTGGCTGCCTGTGCTCTGACCTCTGCTAGATTAGCAGAGGTTATCCACGGATGGCTGGCGGGGGTTATCGGGTTGTAAAAAAATGTCCGGCACGGATATGTGGGAGTGCTGCTAATAGATACTTACACATGCCATTGTGCTGTGAAGTTGTGTTTTAATCTTGGTGCAAGTAGGGGCCTGTTTTTTTTCATTCTTGGACATGTCACCTTTGACCTACTTTAGGCTACTAACGTTTACACTCAACATGCTCTGACTGCAGGCAGGCCAGCGAGCACTCGTCATCACAGTTTCTACATGTCTATTAGGACGTGGTCGTTGGGAACGAGTCTACAGGCATTTGAGTGTGCGCAACGCCGTGTTTACCGCATTCACTCTCAAACGCCATCAGGTCAAAAACAAGTTTGAGAAGCCTGAAACCCGTCCTGAGACTGTGGACACACCCACTTTATAACCACGCAGCGCGTTTCACTCCACTGGTGGATGTGAGCTGGAGTAAATGTTCCCAACAGTTTACGGGGAGGACAAAAGGCGCTGTACGGTAGCGCGACTCTCTCGGGCCGGGGGGGTGGGCCTCTTTTCGCCCTTCTTAAAGGCCATATTACGTAACCTGCTCACTGCACACAGAGCTGCTTACGTAAGCTGCTGTGTACTCCGCTGCCATGTAAAAGGCCGGCAGGTAACATGTTCTCCCATGGAGCTGACTGTTTTGGGACACTATTTTGTGTAACTTGTAAGCTCTACCCTGCTCTAAAAATGTACAATGCAAGATTAGTATTTAAAGTATTTAAACCAATTTCTTAATCTGTAATATATCCACATATTACCGAGCACAACGTGCAGGCTGCATCTATTTGAGTCGCAAGGCTTAAGCTGTGTTTATACTCTCTCGTGACATGCGGCTTGAGTTATGCGCGCGCACAAAGGCATCCGTGCGTACGGTGTTCTTTGTTGCAGCATTCTCCAGCGCACAAACTCAATGTACTGTTTAGGAACAGGGTTTGTTTTCAATTTGGCTGGCGAAACACTTGTGTGTTTCTAAAGCTTTTAAAAAGAATTGACTCGCTTTGTAAAATCCTCCCGACACTTTTTAAAATTACTTTTTATTAGTTAAATATTTGACTCACCAAGCTACAAAACAACAGGAGGAATGCAATGGCGTAATTATGCGACGCACACCTCGCAGTTTATAAATTTAGTGTTTTTGTGAATACGTAAATTTGGCTGCTCAATACTGAAAACTGGGCCATACGAACCCTCCAGTGGTTTGACACAATTGCATTGAAACATTTTTCTTGACTTAATTATTTTTTATTTAAAGCCAGTGGAAAACAAAACTTTTCTAAAATATATTCGCTTGAGAATAAATGGGTTTTTCTTAATCTCTTCCCATGAAGGCAATAATACTTTTCATTGGTTTAAGCGACACTGACCCAGGGGCCTCAACATCAGCCTGGGTTTTCCGTATCATTAAACACCATTGACTCGGGGGTGTTTCTGGTATAAATATGTGAATGTTTTCCCTTTCATTAGCCCTCGTAATTAACATTCTGCTCAGGCAAACATTGGATATCCTGACAGGCTACAGCTATTATTAGCACAAGCTTTATCAAAGGTCGGAATTGTTAACTTGTTAACCTATTCGGGTGTTTATCAAGGTTATCTTCCACTCAACAAATAAAACCTACAACTATTTGATTTTTAAGTCCAACTTTCAGGACTCCGGTCAACCGCTGTCGTTGCTCTCCAGAGTTGTGTTCTTGCACAATCCCAGTTCGAAGACATTCTGGTCAGTGGCACATGAGACCCGATGCGCACATGTAAATGTGCGCGTTGACCCCGCGACAGATGATCGATCCGTGCACGGCGTTTCCTTTTCCTTACCTCAGTGGCACAGGTTCCAACACTTTTGGATCAGCTGAGAATATATTATACAATGAAAAGGCTTTACTTTGCATGGATGTACCAACATTTGCATTAAGAATCATTTAATAATCACAAAAGCCCTCGACCTAGTATTCTGCATGATTAGGCTTTGTTTTACAACATATGGAAGTTTTTATTATACATTATTAGTTCACGTATGAAAACAGGGACACGGGCATAATCTCTACTCTGCGTTTTCAACTGAATGATTTGCCAAAAACGATTGGAGATAATTTATTCAGCTCACACATAAGTTCCTCTGGCTATCTCGCTGTGGGAGGCTACAGAGACAATCGAACCCAAGATCACACAAGATGCGCGTGGGTCTTCAAGTGTTCCAAAGCACCACCCAAATTATTCATCAGCCTGCTCCATCATCGTCCGTGTCTTTTTAGCTCTGCGTTCCATTTCCTCCTGTGCATTTGGGTAACCTAGACCTGATTTGTCTTGTGTAAAGTCACAACATTAGCCCTTTTCCAAGAACAACAGAAGTGTTATATTTCTTTGGCACCTGAATGTAGCATTGATGGTGAGTTCAAGTCACTGTTTAACCATGCAGTACAGAGCGCTGGCCTGTAACACGAGGCATTAAGCATACAAACGGCCTCTATGTTCTAATTGCTGTTCAACCCACAGAGCGAAGGCTGGGCCACGTTTAGTGCTTGAGACGATTGTCATGCAACTTTATGTTAAAAGTTCAAACCTCGACGAGCGCTTCAGTTTGACTTTCCCTTCAACCCACGCCTTTGGGGGAAACGCGCCGGGTTTACTCTCGGTCATTGACCGATAGTAACCTCGCAGCACACGGCTCCTGTCAGGGTGTCATTTGACTAGCTCACAAGCCGCATTGTTGAGAGCCCGGCCGACGAGCTCTGAAACTCCACTGGTGATTGGCTGGCTGAGGTGCCGTCTCCAGGCAGAGGTGTTGGGTTTCATTTTGTGGGGACTTTTTGTTCTTCTGTGAAGTGAAGCGGCTGACGTTCTGCCTACTGGAAGAATGGAGCCTGGGTTGGGGCACAAAACGTTAAAATGAGACCATGGCTTTATGAATGGGCAGAAGACCTAGACTTGGTACTGAGTGTCCGGTTACTTGAATAAGTCTGTTCCTTCCATTCTCTGGTACTGGAGGACGTATCAATTCTTTATATTTTTGTGTTTCATGGGAGGAAATGTGCTAAACTACATCTCCTTAACTCTGCTGCGTAGACAAGCGGTGACCGATATTCAGATCTTCTGCCTCAGTTTTCTGGTCTGCTTTAATTTAATTATTCCAGCTCTGTCCCACACAACGGCCTTTTTGAATATGGTTTATTTCTCCTATGTGCTGTTAGCATTCGCAGGAGTTATTTACAACTGTAAATAAGAAAGCCTCGCCCATGAAGGACAAGGCAATGATGAGATGTACGCAGCAACACACTCCTATAGACTAGGAGAGTATCTCCACAGGGTACCTGTCATTTACTGTCCGTTGCGATAGCAAGGTCTAAAGAAGGCGGGCAGCGCTGCAATGACCACTACCGAGTAACGATGCACGTGCGAATGTGTCAGAGTAGTAATGCGCGTTAGTCACCGACACGGGGAATCAAACTGGCTGAAGCACACAGAGAAGTCGAGCTGCTCTTGAGAAGCTGATGCAGCATGGCATCCTCACGTCCCAACAAGAGACGGATTCCTGTGATTCTGTCTGGTCAAGTCACACTGGAGACCGTCACAGTGATTTAGGTTAGCGTTCAGCTGTTCTGCCTCTTGTCTCGTCTGCTTTGTTACGGGCCTGTGGGAAAGGGCTGTACAGGAATAACACTTATTTTCGGTAGGTCTGAAACGTTATGCCTATCTAATCGGCCTCAAACACCCCGTGAAACCATGGAATTTATTGACTTTTAGCTCTCCAAAGTGCAGTATGGTCCTTGACGATGGACCTTGACAGGTATTGAAGCTGCTCAGGCCGACGCTGGGAAAGGACATCCTTCCCAGAAGCTATCTGCTTACTCCGGAGGCTCCCCCAGGAAGGCAGTGGAGCTGCATCTGTACAAAACATTTTTGCTTGTTATGATAACCAGACTTATTCGGCGAGTTGTTGTCCCTGCCGCACAAAGCTGTTATTTCGAGCAGATACAGTAGCGGGATAGCGCCACAGGGATCTTGTTACGTTCTGCTTGTGAAGCAGCTGTGTCTTGTGGATTTAAGCGATCTGTTCTCGTGGCGTTTGAGGCATCATTCAGCCTCGTTGTAGGAACACCTATTGTTGAACTTTGGTTACCTCTGTTGCAGGGCCTGTTGACCTGCTCTACTGTACTTGTTGTAGTTGTTTGCTTCCAACCGACACCTTTTTTAGAAATGTGAGCCCCCACAACACTAGGAAGGTAGGCGTTACATTTCCTGCCCAGCAGCTCGGCGGTCAAATGCCTCACCTCGTCATCGGTGGTTGGATTTTGGGAACATCGGTGGTTAAAACACATCATGCTAGTTACTCAGTCGGTGTCACAACACCCAACCTAATAGGCCGAGACTTGTCCTGAAGGAAGCTATTTAAGATATGTATGAAATTACCTGCTGGATGCATAGTGACTAATGTTGACTTCACGGCAATCCCCATCGAACTATAGTAACCTCCACGGCTTGCCCTGTAGTAACCTTTTGTCTGCACCATGTAGTAAACTCCAGTCAGCCCTATTGTTTGCGTCAGATGGGTAGCTAGCTAGCCGCGCTGCATCACTTGACGCCTGCTGGGCCTGACACAATAGAGAGCAGTGCGTGTGTGTTTTTGCGTTGGAGGGGATGGGATGTTTAACACCGTATCAAAGTACTGTTTGTTATGCCCGAGGCCAGGTTGGCTGTGGGGCTTCGTTGTTATGGTCTGGCTTTATCAGGCGTGGTGTAGAGCGACTCTGTTATGCGTGCCTCACAGCTGCTCGCGCCACCGTTGTTGCTCCTCGGAAGCGCGTTGGCCGATGGTGCCTCTGGTGTTGCCCGTTGTGAATTGCCTGTTGTGCCCTCTCCCTCAGAGTCTGGCTTGTAATCCCCTGAGATGGGGAAGGAAACGTCACCTCCAGGTATTCTGCCTTCCCCTGTGGTTCCCACGAGGGACCGACTGGAAACACAAGAGGTTTGTACAAAATAAAAGAGGCACTGAGCGCTACCACTCCCTTACACTCGGCGTCCCTCTGAAATATCCTCAAGTCACGGTGTGACCTGATTTGCAAAGATGAAAAATATCTCTCTGCATCGTGCTTCAAAGATAACTGGCCTGGGGGGGTCGAGAATAAGTAGTTTCTGGGGTAGTCTGCTTTTAGTCATACCTTGGGGTAAATTCAGCCATCATGTTTTTGACACTAAACTGTTCTACTGCTAGAACTGCGATACCTACATCTCTGCCAGTGTCAAGTGAGCTAAATCAGAGCCGCAACAAATGCTCAATTGACATTTGCATATGAGCATATTTGATCGTAGCCGCAAACTGCATCACCGAGACTTTGTCGACAACACCAGCCAGTGACATGCTGTTGCACTGGTTGGTGGCCACAGAAGTAGGTGACTGGAAAAAGGCTCTTTGCCAGTACAATCTTCTTAAGGCTACGGTGTCATAGGTAATCTCAGGGATCAGTTCAGGTTACTCCAGTTCAACGGTCTTCGTGACGCAAGGATCAGGGTGTTTCTCCTTTTGACGTTTGGTCTCAAGCTGCGAGAAGGAAAGAATTCCTCACATCTTCTGGTCAAAACAATGGAACGGACCGGCCACGGCTTTTTCTTTTTGTGGGGATTTAGCTGTTTTCCTTGACCACACCAGAACACTGTGTTCTTATCATTTAATCATTCAGGCCGAACAATAACAACTTTTTTGTTGTTGTTGATTTTTTGACCATTAACCGTTGAACTATTTTCTCATCCATCACTTCATAAAACACATGTCATTTCAAACCACATTTCCCCAAACCAGGATTACTAGTAGAGGTTTGTTTTTAAATGGGCCAGATTGGACTGCATTTTGGCAACAAGCCACAGAGACCCGGACAGGATGAAGTTCATTGTGACTCATATTGGGTCCCATTATTGCATTGAAAGTTCCTCATGGTCGCACTTTGGCATGTGAGATCGAGTACACTGAGTCGCTACGTTAAAAGTCCAAGTACTTCCTCTACTAGAGAAACTACTCCACTTCTGCTTTTAAAAACCTCAAGGGAATTCACTTCTAAGGAAAGTTTTGATTGTGTGTTCTGAGGAAGACGATAAAAAGGGAAAGTGAGTCATTACGGCTCTTGAACAAATGTCAAACAACTGCTGTTAGCCTCGTACGTACGAGATGTCCTGACTCCTCCCACACCGCTGCAGGAGTCCGTTGAATAGTAAAAGTTGGTGGTATTTGTAATTGGGTACACGGTGTTATTCCAGACTATTTGTTCTTCTTTCTGGACAAAGTTAAAGTAAAGACATTGACTTATCTATTTCTGTCCCTCCGTCCTCCAGACACGTCTTCTTCATGCACGTGAAGGAGGACCTCCATAACGGTCACCTACGTATGGGCTCCGAACAAGCGGAGGAGCTGAGCGCACTCCTGGCACAGGCCGAGTTTGGAGACTACAACCAAAACACAGCCAAGTACTGGTACTCTGAGCTGTACGGAGAGGAGCCCGACACCGCGACCGTCAACAGGTAAAAGTCACACAACACGGGCCTCAAGAAGAGCAGCAAGTGCCAGTGTTGTTGTTTGAGCAAAAAACTTGTTCTCCACATATTTTTAAAATAACAACTCTACCCTGACCTGAAACCAGGTCGAGCAGGGAGGGTTTACACAAGATAACTTATTATTAGTATTATTAGTATGTCCAAATTCCAGTTAAGAACATCTGGTTAATCATTGAAACCTGAATCCTGAATCTCTGCCCCCACAATATCTCAAAGGGAGAAAATCCACCCAATAACGACACGGTGAAGACATGATGAAAAGTAAATATTGGTTTAATGCAATCAGTCGTGTGTGTTCTATCATTTGACAGATGGTGTTCAATTAAATGTAATACATCAAAATACTGTCTGAAGCAAAGACCTACCCAAACTCTAAACCGAGACTTTATATTTTTTAAATGAATGGAAGGATATTTCTTTATTTAACTGAGAGGAAATGCGTTGTATTAAAGTACATCTCTCTCACATACACACATACTGGGCAAACAGCGGCGGACAGCAAATCCGAAGGCACGTGTTTCACAGGGTTCAGCGGATGGAGCCTTCTACTTAACATTTTCCCTGTGATGAGAATAGTGAAACAAAAGTTCCTTAGAGCAAGAGTTGGCAGCCCGAGAACATGATCCCATTGTATTGTGCAGAAGCCGCAGCCATTCAGTCTTAACTCGACACACAAACCATTAAACCAGCAGGCACCACTGTTTACTGCTACACCTACACTCACATCCAGCATGTTATGTATGCAGATGCATAAAGTACCCAACTACTTTTGTTAAAATAATTCACATTGAAACCGTAAGATTCCGATTTTAAGTACAAAAAGCACTTTGTTGCAGTAACAAGATAAAATAAACTTTTTGTTGTATTCGACCCGTGGCCACCAGGCATTTTCCACCACCGTGGGAATCAGCAGACTTCTCTGGCTAAAAGAAGGAATCCGCTTTGCCCCCCCCAAGCATTCATCTACCAAGTATAGCAAAAGAGAACCAGTTTAGCATCAGAGCCTTCTGCCTAAGGATGTGTTCAGCTTTGACAGCAAACACACTCCGTAGCGCTGAATTCACGCCTGCGATATCGAGTGTCTGTGATGAAGCTTGTGTCAGATTATGAGCTTTGATGGGGGAACTAAACATAAATGCTCGTCTTTCTCTGCAGCATCGTGTCCAGACACAAGGCTCTGGAGGGGTTGAGCCAGGGCTCCGTGGAGTATCAGGCCCTGCAGCTGGTCTCCTCTTTGGAGCATTACGGCGTGGAGTGGCACTGGGCCCGCGACGCAAATGGGCAACGCCTGGCCGTGGGCGTCGGCCCGGAAGGCATCGCCGTTTGCAAGGAGGACTTCAGCTTGGTCAACAAGTACGCTCCACCCAGACATCTGCAAATGGCTCTAGTGATGATAGGTTTCATGTTTTGTAGTTTTAGGAACTTTAAGAACTTTTACAGCATTTAACAGTTTCTTCTCTATTTGCCTCCTCCCAGGATAAGCTACCCGATCATCCAGATTGCCACCCAGTCGGGGAAGAGCGTGTACTTGACGGTTAACAAGGACATGAGTGACAACGTCGTGCTTTTGTTCAAGCTGATCAGTAACCGGGCCGCCAGCGGTCTGTACCGAGCCATTACGGAGACCCACGCCTTCTACAGGTGAGAGCTGTCCGTCAACCCTCAGCTGATTCACAAGGCCGATCTGCTTTGGACCTCTAGTCAGCGTAGCATGCGTTAATGTTCTAGTCACTAAAGACTGGCAGATTATGAAAGATTTCCAAAAATGTGTTTATGTAAAAAAAAGATGTTTTCTCTACTTGGAACGCAATGCTTCCTGACTCACATCTGTACACATTGCTCACTTTTTAACCCTTTTTAGTAACAGAAGTACCTGCACAGTGGGTAAGACACGCAGGATGAGTTGAGGTGCAAGGGGGATATTGGATGACGTTCTGAGTCGTACTACAGATTAGTTTGGAATAGTCCGATTTCTGTCTGGTCAAATGCCCTTTTGGATCCTTCCGACCGTGGCAACCATGGCTCGTCTTTTTGATTTTTCCAGGTGTGACACGGTGACTGACGCGGTGATGATGCAGTACAGCCGGGACTTCAAGGGCCACCTCGCCTCACTGTTCCTCAACGAAAACATCAACCTGGGCAAGAAGTACGTCTTCGACATCCGACGCACCTCCAAGGAGGTCTACGACCACGCCCGGCGCGCGCTCTACAACGCCGGGGTCGCCGACCTGGTGTCCGGCGGCGGCGGCGACGACGGACGCTCCTCCCCTTCCCGCTCCCCGAGCCGAGACGACCCGCAGGACGACGGGCTGGACTGCGGCGGCTGCCAGCAGAACCGAGCCCTGCAGGAGCGGCTGCAGAAGCTCAGGGAGGCGCTGCTGTGCATGCTGTGCTGCGAGGAGGAGATCGACGCCGCGTTCTGCCCCTGCGGCCACATGGTGTGCTGCCAGAGCTGCGCCAACCAGCTGCAGGTGAGACTCTCCTTCACTCGTTCTGTGAGGGGGGCGGGGGGGGTTGTTTGTGTGATTGGCATTCTCTTAGGTCATTGGCTTTTTTTTTTTTAACATCCAAAGCTCTGCTTGCACTCTGCTGACCTGAAGGTCCCCCCACTTAATTAGCCAAATGTTGCCCCTCTTTGTGGACGCAGATGGTGGGTGCATGAAAGGATTATAGCGGCCAGGCAAATCTTCCCTCCATTGGCTGAACTGATTTTGGAAAAACAAGCTCGTAGAAAACTCGAGACAAACGAAGGCGAGAAGGGGAAAGTTCCGCCACTTTAGGCGATCCGTTTCTCATTTTCATGATTCAGCTTGCCTTCCCTTGCTTCTGTGCATTTGCCACGGTGTACAGACCGATGACCCGAGTGGTGGTTAATTAGTGGCCTGGATGGCAGTGAACATCGCTCGCCACGGCGCGCTTGATGAGGGGCGAGTTGCTGTGCCTCTCGGCAGTGAGCGTTTGCTGTTACGTGTTCTCTTAGCTCGCATTGTTCGGTTTTGCTGGCGTTGAAACTTCTTGGCAACGTGTGCTTTGACCCACTTTATCAAACATTACAGGGCTGTTGTTGACTTGGTGTAACCCTACACGGATCTGCTAATGCGGCCATGGAATTATTGTTTGAGGAGATGCCTTAAGCATAACGCCGCGTATCGCCATTGGGTTAACAACTTTTAATGAATTAGTTGGACAGTGAAGCATAAATTAGCTTCTTTAAAAAAATAAAATAAGCCCTGATCTAAATACTTTTCCTTTCCTCTCCCTCAGATGTGTCCGGTGTGTCGGTCGGAGGTGGAGCACGTGCAGCACGTCTACCTGCCCACCTGCACCAGCCTGCTGAACCTGACGCTGACCGACAACCACCAGCACCGCAGCAGCATCCCGGCGCCCATCCGCAGAGAAATGGCCTCTCACTGCTCCGCCGCGGAGTACGAGCACAAGATCTACCACACATGAAGACGCCCTGAAGCTCAACCAGGTTTCACGCGGAAGGAACATTCGTAGTCCGTCTGGGGTTCCTGCCGGGAACACGTGGATTAACCAAACATGTAGAAACTCCGGAGAATATTTAAAGACTGACACGCTCGTACCACTCCCTGTGTGTGATGGTGTTTTAATGTTATTTACCGTCGTCCCTTTTGGACGTCAGTTTGTCTGATTGATTGTTAGTATTGTTGCAGTTGGTTTGTGTGTCCTTCTGTTCCGATGTTGTTGTTGTTTTTATGCAGGCCCTGCCACAGGAAGATGTTAGATTAGGCTCATTGTCTTTAAATTATTGCATCAGTCGACCTGATGCAGAATAGACACATTTCTTTGTTTTGTTTTTTCTCAGCTCCTCTTCAGGTTCTTGGTCGCAGAACCTTTATGATCAACCTTTTTTTAGAATAGCTAAACACTGTTCAGAATGATCAGTCTTTTTTTTATTTTTTTTATTTTTATAAATGCTTCTTGACATTTTAAAGCTTATGTTTTTTATTTGAGAACGGAATTTTATTGTTTGAGTGAAATGCATTTCTTTCTTTTTTTTTTTTTCCCATTGAAAAATATTTGACTATTTCATGTTTGTTATGTTCCATGTTGTCTACGCCAATAAGGGGGTATTTAGAGGCAAAGCAGGGCTGCCCTGGATATAGCATAGCATACTAATAAGATACACAAGGCGTTAAGACCACCACGGTCCCATTCTCGTCTCTCAAAGGGGTTCTCGGAGGGTCTTTTGAAATGCAGAGTCTTGCTGACTCTCACGCTGCCTCCCTCACCATCAAATGGGAATTGTTGATTAACTGCCACTTGTCCAAAACATCGGGCCAGATTTTATAGATTGGTGCAACTTTCTTTTTTTTTTTTTTTGTCTGCGGGCCAATGAAAAGTTAAAAATTAAGAGCAGGAACGGCTCTTCTACTAGATGCAGTACCAAAGTTCTAAACAAAATGTGAATTTGTCCAGCAGCACCTGCTTCCTTTGCTATCCATTTCTCCTCTGGGACATATATAGTAGTGAGTTGATATTTTTAAAAGGGTACAAGGAGACCTGTCTGTGCAATACTTACTTGCTTTTAAAGTTTTATTTAAATTCAAAGACTATTTAAGAAGAAAAAAACGACTGTCACTTTACCAAGGAAGTTTTCCATGTGTCTGTAGATGGGTTTTGCCTTAATGTAGCAGCAACACATTGTATATTATAAACTTTCCAGACTTTTCTTTTTTCTGTTAAGAAAAGGAAAACTTTGTATTTTTAATGCTGGCTCGATTAAGCTCAGTCACTGCAGGGGAAGAACTTTTTATTTTCGCATTTTACAAGTAGTGATTTGTTTCTGTTTTCTGAAGCAAAAGCCACTATTCTTTGTAAAAAAAAAATAACTGAATTAAATCCTTTTTTATATTCTGTTTTTAACAAAAAAGTATTAATAAAGTTGTTTTTTAAAAACTATGGATTTTGCGGACATTTAGATTTTGTTATCTGGAAGCAGTTCTACATTAACACCCTGTTAGCCGTGGCTCTCAATCTGCAGGTTAGAAAACTCGGGCACCAGGTAAATTAAGGGATTTTTTACTTTTCAGGCCTCCGTTTCAATAACTAAGTTTAAGAAACCAAACCTGCCGTCTTGAAACAACAACGCGGCCCTGGAGGTTTCAGATGACACTCTGATAGGAGAACGGAAGGCGCGCGCCCGCAGAGACTTGCGCCGTCACGTCTCAAGCACCCCAGGTCATTTATTCCTTGAAAGGTCAATGCGTCATTTGTTGTCCGACTAGGAGAGGAAGCCAAGAGTTGTGCAGTCTGTAACTAAGACTCCGTATGTTGATGAGAAATAACAAGCTCCACTGGACTGTAATTATGAAGTCTGCAAATAAGCGTTTGTTGATCTCAGACTCTTTCCATGACACTGCGATTTCTAGAGTCAGCCATGGATAAATCCTGTACTATTGCAGGTTGGAAAACAACTCATTGAGCAGCCTCTCATGACATCGCAAGGCTTAAGAGTTAAACTTAAAGACCTTAAAGTACAATAATGAGATAAATCCTCATCTACAATTTTGCGTGTAGCGTCTGCGTCGCTCACACAGATTCACATGCAGCACATTTAGCCCTAAACCGGACTTTGCACTGATTCTTCGCCCGGATATCATCGGTCATATCAGGGAGAAGGAGGATGAGCCTGTGGTATTATGAAACACCATAGAAACACCGCAGAAACGTAAAAACCTGAGCACATCGCCGTTGTCACGCTAATCCAAAACTGTAGTACCACACACAACTGAACTAATCTCTTGTTGAGAAATTTCCAACTAAAATAGATCTTTCAGTGGGCGGTGACATGGAACCAGTCAGAGACAAATAGAACTAAAATAAGGGCTTAGCGGATTCATTGGAGACTGGATTTTAGATTTCACTAATCTGCATTTTTTCCTGGTGTCTTGTTAAATATGTTGCCGCTGGTATTCTGGGCTTCAACAGCCTTTTCAATCAGTCAAGCAATTTCCACAATAAATATGTGACTCACAGTCAGACATGTCGTTGAATGCTCTGCCACAAACATTTTCACAGACAATTATTTGTATTGTATCCGGTTTTATCGGCTTTCTTTTGCAAACGTCCATTTCTGGTGTGGGTGCAGCCAAGAGCAATAGTCAATAAAGCCTGATGGAGGCTCTGTTTGTGACCCACTTTGATGTCAGGCTGCACTGTACTGGGAGCGATTGTTCATTTTGTTAAAACTGCAGAAGCATTCAAAACTAAAGCCGCCGTCCGCGTTGCGCTGTGTGTGTGAACACAAAAGCGTAACACAAAAGATGGAAAACGGCTTAATATACAAACAAAAGGCAGGTGTTTCAGGTGTGATATCATTTGTAGCTCAAATCCCACGTCCCCCAAAGCTGTTCTTCTATCAGTGATCCGTGCCATCCTTGACAACTTGCTCTGTCGGCTCCACTTCTGCTGTTTGACCCGGGCAGAGGTGTTTGCATGTGGTGCACGCTGCCGCGTTCAGCGTGAAATGACTTCACGGTCGCGTGTCGATGCGACACGGAAACACGTGAAACAACCCAACGAGACACTCGGTGCCACTTTAATTCTTTACCGAACTGTCTGACGGAAAGCACGTGCCTTAGGCCAGCTGTGGCTGCATGCAGGGTCGTGGTTGGGAACCGGTTTATGACTTTAGAAGTAGGTCTCGCATATAGATCATGTTCTGCGTGTGAGGCACAAAGGAGAGAGGAGCACGTGGTGCGTTTACACGTCTGCTCCGTTCCTCTCTGCGATCAGCCCGGGCCTCCGAAGCCGGGCTGCCTCGTTAACCCTTCACACAAAGTTGGCCCACTTCTCCGGAGTTAAGGGCTTCTTGTCATTTCCCTGTTTGTGCGAGTGTAGTCCACGTAGAAGACCTTACAGAGAGAGAAGAAGCGCTCCACGTTTAGCGTATCCTGCATTCGAATTCCCGTTCATCACTTCAAACCTCCTCGACACAAAAAGCGGCGCCGTTCCCCCCCCCAACGGAGAAGCTTCTTCTTCATCCTCGTAGCTCGTAGCCACTCAAGGTGGAAAACAAATAGAATTTTTTAGTTCTTCTAGTCATTTCAACTCGTGCCAGGAAAAGAACATCAAAAGATCCTCAACGACCCCCCCCCATGTGGTCTCACATCTGCTTCAGCCCGATGACGCGCCGCCGGGGGGGGGAGGAGTGGACTCTCTGCAAGTGTTTGAGATGACTTTCCCGCGGGCAAACAGAGCACCACCTCTTCACGGCATCGTCAGCTGCTCACCGAACACAACGCCCGGTCCGTGCATGCGTGTGCACGCCTCTGAGAGGTTTAAGGGCCCGCTGGTACCCGGGTGCACCGTGTTCTCCATGCAGAGAATTGAAGTGCCGTCGTTAGAGCGTCGGCTTTACCGCGTGTACGTGTTATTGGGAAGTCTGCTGCTCACTGACTAAATGACTTATTTCATAACTACGAAGGTTAAGAGTTGATCTGATCTGTAGAAAACAAGTCAAACTATTCAGAGTGGTACAGAAAAGAGTATCCAGCCTGTAAACCTGCATTGAGTAAGCAAGTCTTGAGCCGAGTGATTGTCGTATGAGTGACCCACACCACACAGGCGTGTACAAACACAGCTACTTTCTACATCAGGCCGTAATCAGGAGGTACACCTGAGACTCCAGCGGTACGCGCTGACACAGGAGACGTGCACTGCACAGACAGCGGGCCAAAGGGTCTTCTTATCAGTTTTAATACCCTAAAAGGCTTTGAAGGACTTATCTCATTCAGAACCTTCTTATCAACGCAGCTGAGGACCACGTGGGGTTCACAGGTTAATGGGGCATGAGGTCGGGCCTGTAGATCCTGTGGTGATTGTGGTTACAGAATTATTTAAAAATACATACTGTTGTGTTTTTTTTTATGTTGAACAGCTGTTTGAATTTGGGGAGAAAGGTGCTCTATAGAAAATGTTATCTTGTATCTTTCAATTGAAAGTCAACTATTTATTTATACTGAATACCTTTTTTCAGTTCAGTCAATGTGTCAATATGTCAACCAAGTCATTTAAATCAAAAGACTTTTTCGTCACTCGATTCTTCCATTCATGCGGAAATGCAAACTTTACATTCAAATGTCCTGCTGAATAAACCCCCTTGATGCAGGAAATGAGCGCATGCACGTGGAGAAAAGTTCATTCCCACATTTCTTGTTGCCAGAACACACTTTAACAAGAGCTTTGACACTCGCGCTCATCCTGCTGTTAATCTGGCAGCTGATTTCCACAGCTATGCTGACATCTACTGGTCTCCCCTTGTGCTAACAGCTATGTGTGCTGCATGGACGATACTGGAATGACTTTGAAAAGCAAGTACTCAATAACTTCAATCTAACACAGATAAGTAGATTATTTCAGGGTACGTCGCCTCATTCCCCCGCTGCTGCTGGTCGTCAATACTACAAAATACACAGCAGAACTTTCCCATTCTCAAAATCTAAATAAATTCAAATGGTACAAAGTTGCACCCCAATCAGCTCCTCCACAACCAAGCACATCACAGTCGATTGCCTGCTGTGCTTTCTTCAGTGCAACTGTCCCACTGCTTAAGTACGGCCTGGTCTCCGTTAAGCCTTTTCAGGACAGCCGTGTGAAATGTAGTACTTGCTACAGGTGGAACATTTTAGTACGGATCTGTGTGTAGTATCGATACGGCAGTATATGGGGAGTAAGGCATTTTGTCCACATTTTTCATTTATGTGGTCGTGTACGTGTGCGTGTGTGTGTGTGGGAGGTCACAACCTTGCATTGTGTTACGGGGTGGGTATGTAGTAATAAAACAATAGCATGGAGACAGGGTGACCAGGCATATAAGTGCTGATGTGTGCGTGTGTGAGGTCACACACTTGTATGTGACCTTTTATTGCAGGTACCAACACCGTTGTAGGAAGGGTGACCAGTCACACAACTGTTATCAGAAACACACACACGTCTATAACATTTTATTGCAAAGGGAGAAAACCGTTGTAGGAAGGATGACCGTGCACATAAGTGTTGATACGTGCGCGCGTGTGTGAGAGAGATAGATCAAAACCTCGTATGTGCCAACACGGTTGTAGAAACAGTTTTTTATGACGGGTGTGCGAGAGGGGGAGGTCTCAACATTACCAACCCAGATACAGATAAGGATGACCAGACATATTTCCACCAGAAAATCCCCAGGTCCTCACGGGTCATTTAGTTTACTGTATGTAAAATCGTGCGTAACCACTCCCACACAAATGCATGTGTTTAAGTATTTGTTAAGCATTTGGTCAGTTTTCGAACAAGAAGAGACAAGATCTCTAGAATGCTAGAGCGGTTACTTTCATGTATTGTGATTGAATGTATTACTGGAGGGAAATACATCGTGTGATTTAGGGACACCGGAATAAGATGAGCTAATGCACATATTTTGGTTATTGCTTTGAACTCGTGTGTTTGTGTCGTGAACACTGAACAGTAACATATGGTTTCATACAAATGTGTGTGTGTGTGTGTGTGTCCTGGTGCTGTCTCTTTTCTAATTTTTCTCGGAATAAGTGGCCCTTTATTACATTACTTTACATTACAGGTCATTTAGCTGACGCTTTTATCCAAAGCCTCTCTACCCCTGCGCCACGTCGAGGGGTCCAGAGCGTCCATCCAAAGTATCTGGGACCAAACGTGGTCGCCTGGTTCATACGTGTATGCTCTGTCAATTGGCTGGTAAAGCTGGACAAGTGACAATTTTAATTAGCTGTAAAACAAGTTTAGAACTGCCGGCTACTATCATTGACTTTATTATATGCATAAGAGGCTAACAAAAAGTTATAGGTTATAATAATGTTTTCTCAACAGAATCCTTTTTGCTAAAACTTTCTCAATGTGAGAATTTTTGTTCCCTCTCAGTAGTCAAAAATTAAGTGGGAGAAATCTTAAAATCATCTAACAGTTCAAAAAGTTGAACCTCACAGTCTAACATTGAGGAAGTGTTTTAAAACGCTTCTGTCTTTCAGCTTCTGTGACTTAATTTGCACGATGTACTGCTTTCTGGAAAAATGATGGCCGTAATAAATGTGGTAGCGCACAATTTAACAGTAAACTAAAAAACCTGTGGGGACCTGGGGGTTGTATGTCTGGTCATCCTTATCTGTGTGTGGGTTGTGACCCCTCTCTCACACACCCGTCGTTAAAAACACACTCTGTTTCTACAACTGTGTTGCCACTTTGCAATGCAAAGCCCCGCCTGCTGCCCTGCCCCCAATATACTGCCGTATATATATATACTACATGTGTGATAATCAATTACCAAATTCCATTTCATTTTTCCTCCTTTGCATCCACACATCTCTCTCCTTCTTCTTTCTCCGTACTGCCGGCTTAGCGAGCAATGCCCCAACTGGACAGCGGGTGTGCTCTTCAGCACTGCAGCAACACAACCCACTGCGGTTCTAATATGTGTGTGTGTGTGAGTGTGTGTGTCTATGCGTCACCGCTGCTCCTGCTGCTGCTGCCACTCTGTAGAAGGAGAGTAAAGCGAAAGCGCGCGAGAGAGAGAGAGAGACAGAGAGAGAGAGAGAGAGGCCACAGGAAGAGTGGAGGGAGAAAGAGAGCGAGAGGGATAGAAGGGGGAGAGAGTCCAGGCCCAAATAAAGCCAAGGGGGCCGGGGCTGGGCTGGGCCCCCCTCTGCTATAAATACGCTGGCTGCTTGGAGGTTCGGGTTCTGTGGTTGGAGCTCAGGCTGCAGCAGCCTTCCTCCAGAGAGGGTCCTCCGTGTTCTCATCATCCTCATCCTGGTCGCTGGCTGCAAAGATGCCTCGCGTGGACTCTGACCTCAAGCTGGACTTTAAGGATGTCCTCTTCCGACCCAAGAGGAGCAGCCTGAAGAGTCGCTCGGAGGTCGGTGCGGTTCGTTAGGTTTTCCTCTGATAATGTGATATTCCAGCTGCAGCTCAATTAACCACCATTATCTCTCAGGAGGGGTGCAATCTGTTTACTGCTGCATTCAGAAAGTTGATTTCCCCTTGTGGTGTGTGAGGCAATGGAGATATGTTGACTATCCAGAGGGGGCGGGGAGGTGTGTGTGGGGGAGGTGAGAGGGGGGCAGTATTTCTTAGCCTCCTAACCCTTTATTTCCATGATCAAAGATGAAAAATGTACATTTTTATTTACGGAGCATCCACAGAATTGATCAAAAAGTAACAGCTCAGGCTTGAGACACTCACACAAGCTGAAATAAACTTCGTTGTTGTCTCGTGTCAGCCAGCAGGTGCACTCTGCCTCCGTACCGAGCATGTAACAGCAGAGTGACCTTCTAAAAGGTGACAAGAAACAAAGCTAGCCTGTACCAGACAGAGGTAAACAACAACAACTGTCCAAAATGGCCAGAACCAACCAAAGAAGAGGAGGAGCGGCATGGATAATAATTACAATTTTGAGTGGATTAAGTTCTTTTTATTTGACACTTATATAACCAGCCACAGTTCCTTTAGCACCCGTTGGTTTGGGACTCAGGGGCAACACAGTCCTCTCGTTGTCGTTTTTACGCGTGCTACTTCCTGGACTTGTGTCACTGGCCTCGTGTCACTAGATCTGGGACTGGTACCGACACAAGATCACGGTACTGGTGCGGTGCCACTAGATCTGGGGTGGATGGTGGGAGAGGGCGGGAGTTGGCTTCTGACGACATGAGAGCCGGGACACTTCTCAGAAAATGGGTTTATAAATAGTGCTGTCAACCGGGGAACATTGCATTTGTCACAGAGGCACCAGGATAACATTGTATGTATATATATATATATAAACACTGACGCACACAACAGCACTGAGACCACACAGCACTCAAGCTCGCACTGATGCGTACGCAGTGTAGTAGGGGCTCTCGATCTGGACTTAATCAATTCTTTTGCGGATGCTGACATGAATTCTCCCCGTACCTGCTGCATGCTGATTAGTAAAGCGGACAGCAACTCTGGTTAAGCCCTTCAAATTGTACTGCTGCACATCTGCATCACCTCAGCCAGATGCATTGGGATTCAGACCCCCAAACTTCTCTCTATAAAAGATCGTCAGATAAATCTAGGGAATACAAGATGGCCTCGCATAAAACCGTAGGATGTTTTATGAGAAACAACTTGATCTCTGCGTCACGTTTTTCTCCGGTCACTAGAGTGGAAAGACTTGCTGAGTCAGTGTGTCTATTTACTGTAGCCAGACGATACATTTCCTCCCTTCTCATCCATGCTCCTTTCTCCACCTTCCTTTTTCTGCTGACATTGTGAGTTATTGCCTCATTTTGCTGCGGCTCTGACAATAATTGCAGTGTGAAGGTGAAGGCACACTGTGTCCTGTTACCCATTTCTACACCTTTGCATAATAAATGTCTTGCCAATACTCAACAAAGCCTCTTAGTACCATTGCAATTGGTTTTAATCCCTTTTTCTTTCTAAAACTCTATATGTTCATAATAATATTCTAGAAGTTGAAAGTATTGAGCTAGATATGAATACTCAGGCCTCCAGAGGGACTCATGTCTCGTCCGCCCTCAGGTGGACCTTCAGAGGACCTTCACGTTCCGCAACTCCAAGCAGACTTACACCGGCATCCCCATCATCGCCGCCAACATGGACACCACGGGGACCTTCGAGATGGCCCGGGCGCTCAGCAAAGTGAGCTCAGACGGCCGGATGGAGGAGAGACACGACGGCACGACCGGGCCGGTCTCGCCGTGCGCAACTCCCTCCGTAATCTGTGTTGATCCGTTCCGTCGTTCTCTCCCCGCAGCACACTCTCTTCACCGCCGTCCACAAACACTACTCCGCGGAGGACTGGAGGAACTTTGCTGCTGCTCACCCAGAATGCCTCGAGGTAACACACACCGCCGACGCACGTTTCCTTCTTCATGTCTCCGCTCATCGGCCTAAACGCAGGCTCCTGTCCCCCAGCACGTGGCCGTCAGCTCGGGGAGCGGCGTGGCGGATCTGGAGAGGCTGTGTGCCGTTGTGGACGCCGTCCCCGCCCTCAAGTACATCTGTCTGGACGTGGCCAACGGCTACTCCGAGTGCTTTGTGGAGTACGTCAAGACGGTCAGGGGAAAGTTTCCCAAGCACACCATCATGGTAAGAGGGGCGCTCTCTGGTGCGGCTGCGTTGCGTTGTGAGGCCGCGTGTCGCCGGCTGACGCCGTCTGGCTTTTGCAGGCCGGCAACGTGGTGACGGGGGAGATGGTGGAGGAGCTCATCCTCTCCGGCGCTGACATCATCAAAGTGGGCATCGGGCCAGGTGGGTCGGAGCGTGTCTGCGTGCAGGCCGAGTGGTGCTTTAACTCTAAAACAACAACTCGATCGGTTCTTTAGGTTTAGGTTATTTACTGCAACGGATTATCATGAAAGAGCTCGTGTCCCTTGTTCTATTTTCGCTATTTTGAGTTTGATAAATCCCCCGTGAACTTGGCATTCGGAAGGTGCCGTTTTGTGACTTTCTGCAATGAAAGATGACAGCATTCACAGGGGGGTGGGGGGGGGGGGGGGTGATGAGGACATGACGAAAGGCCTTCCCTGATGCCCCTCCGTGTGGACTGTGCATCGCAGGGTCCGTGTGCACGACGAGGATGAAGACCGGAGTGGGCTACCCGCAACTCAGCGCGGTGATCGAGTGCGCCGACTCCGCCCATGGACTCAAAGGACACATTATCTCTGTAAGTCTCTGTAAGTAGTAGCTGGTAGAGTATACTGTACGTATGTTAAGGTACGTATATCCTCTCTGCGTGGATTGGCTGTAACTCACATTAGTCCAGGTTGAGGAGAAGGCCTCCTTCACAGGGCGGAGCAAAGGACTGAGCAGCGAAATGTGATTCAGATTTAGAGGAATTTAATGAAACGTGCTACAAAATAGTTAACATTTAGTAATTTAGCTTTTCAAATAAAAAAAAAGCCACGTGATGGAAGATGGAACGTGAACAAACATAAGCGAGGACCCTTAGATGGGGAATAACGGTCATCATAAATATATACTGACTCGGTTTGGTTCATGTGCTCCCAGATATGCTGTAACAATTTGCCAGTTTCTAACAGTCGAGTTGTCGATAATGAGAGCAGCCACTAGAGGACGTCCTCGGTCCTCTCAGGCTGGCAGAATAACAACTTTAGGACGTGAGATTCACAGACACAAGTACGATTCTTCCCTCTCCGTGCAGGACGGTGGCTGTAGTTGCCCCGGAGATGTGGCCAAGGCCTTCGGTAAATATTCAGCCCCACCATTCATGTCCTTTTCACAAGGAATCAACCACATTGTCGGACAACTTCAACCACCCGACTCCCCCCCCCCCCCTCCTCTCCCCAGGTGCAGGTGCTGACTTTGTAATGATGGGCGGGATGCTGGCAGGCCACGACCAGTGCACCGGAGAGGTCACCGAGAGGAACGGCAAGAAATACAAGCTCTTCTATGGCATGAGCTCCGACACGGCCATGAACAAATACGTGGGTGGGGTTGCGGAGTACAGGTGAGAGACGAAGGAGTTGGTTTCACAGCGAGAAATACGCAAGAACCCCCCCCCCCCGGAGTAGAACTTTTCACAAATACCCTCGGTGAAATAACTTTCCACAAAATGATTGCTGTTCCGCCTGTGTTCCTACCTTCTCTGCTCCGCTCTCAGGGCGTCGGAGGGAAAGACCGTGGAGGTTCCTTACAGAGGAGATGTGGAGAACACCGTCCGCGAGGTGTTGGGAGGCCTCCGCTCCACCTGCACATACGTGGGCGCCGCCAAGCTCAAGGAGCTGGGCAGGAGGACCACCTTCATCCGCGTCACACAACAGTCCAACCAAATGTTCACGGCGTAGGACACATGCGTACGTACACACCGGTTGCAGAACATACATTGTCCATGTATTGTGTTAACAATAGAGGGAATATTTCTAAATTTACAGTTGGTAATAAATAAAAGAACGACAGCTAAGATGAACCCATTGCATGTAAACACACTGAGCAGGAGGAGGCGAACACTTGTGCTGAGATCCTTCTGGGATACTATTCTACTCAACTGTATGTTGGAAAGAACGTGCAAATCAATATGCAAGACCCAGAGACGTCACCCGTTAACGGCCATGACGCAGGCGGGACCTTTCCTCCTCAGTGGTGCTGATCATTCTGTGAATTTTAAACAACACAACATAATTAAGTGTGTGCATGTGTTTTTGGTCGTGCGAGGAAGATTGATGAGGACTTCTGAATGTGTGCATCAGAAACATGTGACATATTTGCAGATAAAACAGTCACGTTTAAGTCCTCTTCATCGATTCCAGTGTGCCTGACATTTACGAGTGATGGCGTCCTGCGGCCTCTACTGTTCTTGAACTTTACACAAGGAACTTCAGGGAAAAGCCGTGTAAAGTTAACACTGTTTAAAGTCAATTCTAATATACAGTACGTACGGGAAAAGAAGCACTTGAGACAGTTTTATTGTTATTGCAAAGATAGAAGAAGGTGGAAATAAAGCAAAATTGGTGGGATTTGGTGCAAATTTGTTTGATTTAAAGGATGTTACAGGTCAGGATTTGGGGAAAAACAAAGGTTTCTCTCATAGATCTATAACCCTGATGAAAGCCACAAGCCTAAACACACATGGATCATTGGATCATTCGCATGTGGTTAACTGACACTTCCTTTCAACCTGAGAGTCAGCAACCATCTGTCATACAACCTGTGAACGTTGTGCCGGCGGTTACCTCGTACACATTGTTGATGGAGCCATTATGTCCAATTATTTATATAAACTGAATATTAAGTATGATTATTGAAATGGCCAGACTCTTTATCAACAGCAGAAATAGTGTGTTCACTCTTTCACCGCCTGTTTTTCCTTTCGGCCAATCGGCTTGTGTACATGCTTCAGTAATGCCCGACTCAGATTTAATCCATCAATAAATGCACAACATATCATGAATCCCTGTTGCTGACTATTAACAAATGATGAAGTCACTATGGCTTTTTATGATTAGTTTGTCCTTAATTAATCATTAATTAAAGAATATAACTTTCAAACATCAATACACCTCGCTGTCAGATAGCATTTAAATCACATCTATGTTGGGATTTTTGCACAATTTGTGTTATAATAGTTGCACTGTTGGAAGAAATGTAGTCCGGCACTAAACATAAGCCAATTGACAAACTGATGCCACATATACTTCATACTTTTGTTCATAATAATAAAACATTTTATTTCTATAGCGCTATTCATAGGACTCAAAGACGCTACATTAAAATCATCATATAAAGACAAAGCTATACACGATTTTGGTCAGACATTGTTAATTAGTGCAAAACAGAGTTTTAGGGGCCTTGTTGGAGTTATAAAACACTGAGATGCTGTATTCTTGGTGACCGTGTCGGGAAATGTATAACGTGTTGCTGCTGTGTGTATCTTTGCAATAACAATGTATTCAGTACAATAAAGACTATTCTGTATTTCCTCTTCGTTTTTTTGTTGACATTAAACCAAAACCTTTAAAGACAACTAGAGCAGAAAGATGACCTGAAGGGCGACACAGCATTCAGCAAAGTGACCCTGGTGTCTAAATGGTTGCATCAAGTGGATTTGTTGTGCAGCGTATTGTGCACTAGAGGGAGTTATTGTCTCATAAACTTCAGCCCTAAATCAACCGTAAGGCGGAAATCATAGTGTGTGACAGATGTGACAGCTGTTTTAAATGCAGTGCTTGTGTCGTGCGTGGGTATCGCCATCAAATGGTGTTTTGTTTGATAGCGTTGGTGTTCAAATAAAGACACAACTTGCGCATTTATTCCAGATATGTCAAGGTTTCATTTTCTTTTTCAAAGTGGTGCATTTGTACAGATGTCAAAATACATACACCGACAGCGTTTCTCCATTGCTATAGAGGAAAAGGGGGGGTTGGTGAGACACAGCGACCTGGTGAGTACATTGTAGTACAGACCAGTTGGCTGGGAACGTCTCCCTGCAGGCCGGACGGTCCCGAGCAGATCTGTGCTGATGTCCAGTTCTCTGCGTCCATCGCGCGGGACAAAGCGCTTCAGTTCAGTATTTGGGCGTCACGGGTTAGCAGAGGAACGTCTCGATGGACCGGAGGCTGGCATCAGCGCTCAGTGTTCAGAGGGGGGAGTGGGGGAGGGAGGGGGTCAACTTACGGATAAGCTCTACCCCCCCCTCCCCCCACCCTCGCCCCTCCGTGGCAGGGTCAGAGGTCACGGAAAGTACAGCCTGTCCCCTGTCCAAGTGTCGCCTTGCGCAGAGAGGCAGAACTAAAGACTAATCCGAGCCTCCTCCAGCATAACACACATAATATCATAATAATAATTCATAGTTAATTGTCAATAATGACATTTGTTAATCATATCAAATAATATGTAATACATTTACATATCTTTATAACAGCCCATGACGTAACTTGATTGGGGTGAAACTGTTAAGTGGGCCTCTATAATTTTTTTTTTCTTTCTGCCTGAGTTGGTTATCCAGCGCTATGGACATCGACGAAACATCATAAAAAAAAAGAAAAAGAAAAAACAATTTGACAAAAAATGAATCCTGATTGAATTCTGTTAACTTTAACACACAAACTGCCAAAACACATCCTGTATGCAAAATGAAAGTACAAACATCAAGAAACAAAGAGCACACATGCCTTATTTTTCTGATCGAAAAAAGTCAAAGCTCACACACCAACATTCATTTTATCTGTGAAATTGTGCAAGAAGCCAATTAAAAAAAAAAAGAAGACATTAGCAGTGTTCCTCAAGTGAGGAAGCTTGTCGTAAAAACTCAACAATGACACATTCTGTGAATAGTTTTAAGTCCCCTGACATTATATTGAGTGCTACAAGGAGACCGAAAACACACAAAAAGCTTCTGCACCAAAAAAAAGAAACGCAGAGGTTTGTGCGCACGAGCCGAGCCGACTCCCTACACATCCCGCCCCCAAACGTGACCACAACACAACCCATCTAACCGCACGGCGCGGCGGGGCGCGTGATGGGAGCGCTTCCAAACAAACCCCAACGCAACAAAAGACGGTGTGCGTCCCGTGACAAAAGGCTTTCCCAGTGGAAAAGGACCAAGGGGCCACCGATCACCTTCGGGCCCGTCGGACCCAAGAACACGCCGGGCGGCGAGCGAGATGGAGCGCGGACAGATGAACGCGAGGTTACGGCGAGGTGATGATGTGCAACTCTCTCTTTTTCATCCTCATTCAGCCCCTTTTTTCCATCACCTTCTCTCTGTCCGGTGTAAGTAAACCCCCCCCCGGCCCCTTCTAGGGAAAGTATCAGCCTGAGACACCAAGCCGGACGCAGGATTAGAAAGTGCTGAAATATCATCAAGTCTTTTACATCTACTTACATGTGCATCTCTGTTGGGTGGTTGTTTTTTTCCGTTTCTTTTCTTTTTTACATTTTGTTACGCACAAACACACTCAGACCAGCTCAGGACACATTTGAACACCGGGGTTGTGCACAAGCACACATTCCGCATTGTGCAGACACACACCAGGGAGACACGACACGATCTCTCACAAACACTCAAAATTAGGAAGGCCGCCGAGACAAAAGGGGCCGAGAGGTCGGGCTCCGTCTGGTTCGTTTCTCTTCACAAACCCCCCTCGCCTACAGATGTGAGGCACACACACACACACACACACACACACACACACACACACACACACATCGACAGACAGCAAAATACACAAGCCATTAACGCGGATGAGACGCTGGAGTAGGACTTTCAAACATATACTTGGCACAGCAAAGAGTGGCGCGGGGAACGAATGGAAGTATTGCACATTGCGGTACATTTCAAGTGGCTGAAGAGGTTCAATTTGGGGATTTATATTAACAAAATGAAAACTACAATAAACCCTCACACAATGTTGACCCGCTCCACTGGATCCAGAGTGGCTCTACACTTCAGACCGCTTTGTCTCAGGGTCTATTACTAAGCATGCGGAGCATGGACACCCTGATCTTTGTGAGCTAGTGGTGAAAGGAGATGGTTAGGGATAAGAGTTAGGGGCTAAGGGTTAGGGGTTAAGGGTTTAGGGATAAGGGTTTAGGGATAAGGGTTAGGGGTTAAGGGGTTAGCAGGCCGCGCAGGCCGCGCCGAAAGGTAGCTAACGGTTGTTGAGGGTTAATTGATTGCGTTGCCTCAGGAGGAGGTGTGAGGCCGGCTGGCTGTGACTGGGTACCTGAAACAGAGGCTCAGAACGTCCGCCGGTTACGTCCTGCGTGACGACAGGCGGCGACGTCGGAGGTTTTGGGGGTCGGATACTGCATATATGAGACACTTCCCTGAAAAACTAGCAACTGACGTTGCAACTGCACTTCCTAGAGATTTAAAATGTACTTTATGATGAGGGGAGAGGTACTAATTGAAGCGAGGTGTGTTCAGGTATATTAGCTTTTACGTGCACTTTCTAGTTTATGGCATGATTGTGTTTTCTGTCTACGGGTGTTTGCAATGAAAAACGATTACTGTGATTTAATTTTATTGCAGAGAATGAGTGGAATGACATTGTGTGTGTGTGTGTGTGTGTGTGTGTGTGTGTGTGTGTGTTTGTGTGTTCCACTCATGCGTGAAGAGAGTGCCTGAATACTGTTGTACTATTGCTTTCCAAACCAAATTAAGATTGGCATCACTTAGCTTTGGCTAACAACGTTTCCAGCCGGACAGTCGAAGTGTTGATGGTCTGAGTGGCTTGAAGGATTATTCATATGTTCTGCTCTTTCGTGAGGAAAGGTTGTTGGACATAAAAAAAACAGGTATGTGTGACATGTATATACATTTACAAACGACACAGCCACTCACGGATTGCCAAACATGCACACGCACACATGCTACTATTCGTACTAGTAACGATCATGATGTTTCAATAGGAAAAGGAAGAAATGAAGATGTACTACTGCGGTGATGTTGATCTGAGAAACCCTGTTTATTATAAAAAAATAAAGCATTTTCAAATCTCATTTGGGGTCTACTCTTCTACTCGCCATCCATCGCATCCATTCCGCCATCACACTGCGTAACTCCACCCACATGAAGCGCTGCCCTGCACAGCTAAACCGGGGTTATTTTTGTTGGGATGAGAATACAACTGCTCTACTTCCTCGATGCAAAAAGATCCCGTCTCTGCAGTGAGAACGGGTAGAAAGCTCAACAGATGCGCCTTAACAGCACCTTCAGACCGGCAACCTGCGCATGTTAACGGCTTGGTATGAGAGATGGCTTAATGTTCAATGGCATTATGTGAAGATATTCCACCCTCCACCAAGTTTATCAGGTAGATTTAAAAAAACACAAAAACACCGTCCAATTTCATTATGTTTTGATCAACTTTTAACATTTTTAAAGGAAGCATCTCTGCAGTTCAGTTCCACTGAAGTTAGAAGATAGATGAAATAAAGAGCAACCGCCTTTACATGCGGTGAAAGGATCATGCGTCGGTGCACACCTTGCGTTACGTGTCAAAAATCAAGCTAAGAAAAGGACAGAATTTGAGCTTTCAGATGCAAGAAAGAGACGTTGAGAGTGTTGAACTTCTGACAAACGTCGGGCCGACCAGGCAGGCGTATCTGTTGAGCTAACTGCTGCATCTCGGGAAAAAACGGGCTTCCAGATGATTTGCGCCAAAACTGGACCCGAGCCGCTGAACCCTGGTTTCAACAGCAGGTAAAGTGGAGGGAAAAAAAAGTTTCCTTCGGATTCACTACATGGCATATATTTTAAATTCAGTAGGCAGGCACGTGTTAATTATCCGGTTTTTACAGCTATGGTAATGTTTATAAAAACTCTAATGAAATGTGACCGTAACTGCGTTAATGTAGAAACTTTTCCTCTACAACGTTTCAAGTGCCTGTTGAGGAACAACAACCCTGGTCTCCTCCAGTGTGTCGCGTGGTCTAGGGCTCGTCTTTGTCTCCACCCGTCTCCCTCCTCCCGATGTGCAAATTGCAAAGATTCTATTAAGTACGACTCAAAGTACAAACCCTGGACATTTAGCATCGACTTTATATCAAATGAGTATAACCTGTTCCTATACACGGTATACATACAATCATACACGCTCACACACAAACACGCTGACACAAACTCACCGCCGAGCGCTGTGTGCTGTGAGCGGTGTGTGTGTGTGTGTGTGTTAATCCGATGTCAACTAGCGTCTTCAAATCATCTGCAATCGTCTAAATACAGAACATATAATAGGTCATTTAGTCATATGGATGGTCTGCATTGCGTTGTGATTGTGTGTGTGTGTGTGTGTTTGTGCAGACAGACACAGACCTGCATCATGCACACTCCAGCACACACACACACACACACTACAAATATATGACACCTTTCCGGAATTGATCCTTTCGTCCGGATCCCAAAAGTTCAAAAGACATTCCAAAGCGTTCAACGTACTCAAAGCTCACCGACTGAAAACCGTCATGCTATAGTTTCCTCTGAGCGTAACCCAGGAAACAGACGTCCCCGTCCTCCCCGTCCTCCCCGTCGCTGTGATCCGATGGCACATGCGCTCCCACGTTACCAAACCACCCCTTCACTTCTCAAAAAAAAAAGCTTCATCATTACAAAGTGCTGCTGCTACCTTCTACCCCTGTCTTTAAAAGAAAAGAAAAGAAAAAAAAATAATCTAAAAACATACAGTACTGCGTAAATAAAAGCGGCAACAAAAAAGTTGTCGGATGCATGGCGAGTGTGACGGGTCTGTTAAGTGCTTTGAAACATCCCGACCCTCTCAGAGCCGCTTCCTCTCGCGCAGCCTTTCTCCATAAAGAAATATAAAGTAATCCATCAGGAAAAACAATGAGGATTGTATGCGGTCTTCCTCTTAACACATTTCTTAGACAGACGTTCTCCAACCCAGTGTGTTTGCACTTGCATGTGATAGATTATCTCACATCTATACATCGACATCGACTCACCCGGGTTCCGTCTAGGACTAAATGACCCCTGATTAAGGTTTTTGACAATCATTGAAAATAACTATCTGGTGAGATAGAAGACGAAGGGTTCATGAAAACCCCCCAAAAAACATTTTTTTAAATGAAAGCGCTCAAGATGAAAGCAAAGGCTCCACTGAACAAACACTGAGCAAACGTTGTTCCCTCTACATTTTTGTGTGGCACACTGGCACCGCCTGATGACATCACCGGTCAGGCCCGGCACACTCTGATGACAGTGTGGTTTATTTGTTCTCAAGAGACGGAGAATGGTGTTTTTTTCGTTTTGTTTTTCCTCTCGGGATTTTGGAGAATCCTTCATGCTCTGGATCGTCGGACGTTGTTACATCACTCCCGTGGCTCAACGTGTGTAGAAGTGTTTTCCCCTCCCCAGTTGCTTCAGAGAGGTAAACCGTGTGCATACTCAATTTGATATCTACACTGTGTGTGATGTATAGCCGGCCAGAAAAAGAGCCCTCAAGCATTGCTGCTGTGTGCCACGCAGCCACCAACACCCAGCACGCCTCACAAATCACGTCCTGCAAACCACCAACTCGCCTTTGATTGTGATGTCAAATCCATCTATATATATATATATACGTATATATATATATATATATAAAAAAGAAGTTACATTTTTAACTATATGGACTTAACGTAAGGTAATACCATGTAGGGTCAATTTGCCTCCACAGTACAGTATTCAAGATAGAAAAATAAAAGCAGAAAACAAAACTTTTAAACCGGGACAAATGAAACATTAATGTGGGCATTCGTGTTGTTTTTATCCCACATCCCAATAGTTCTTTAACGGTCCCGGTAGCCTTCACTTGCCAATATTTGACCTTCCCTCGATGCTGACTTTCACCTCGTGAGGGATGAAGGAAGGCTTGGGCAGCGTGAGGGGCGGCTCCTCCTCCGATCTGTCTACTTTGCGCCCTTCCGGCGCGGACCACCTTCGCTTCCTGACTCTCGATGGCTTCCTGCCGCCGGCTTCTGCGCCGCTGGCCTCCTGACCTTTCGAAGCGGACCCTCTCTCCCCATTTACCGCGCCGGCGGCCCCGGCACTCCCGTTGCCCCCCTTCCCCCGCTGGCCGATGCCATTCTCCCGCTCGCCGCGCCTGGAGCCCTGGGAAGCGTCTGAGACACCCCTGGGGGGTCTGAGGTGGCCCGAGGCCGGGACGGAGGCAGCGGCGGCCAGCTCCGCCGGCTGAGTCTTCTTCAGAGATCCGTTCCTCAGGTTCTTGAGGGTCAGCGAAATACAGACGTCGCCCACGGAGAGTTTGGTGCAGGGCAGCTCCAGAAGCTGGGTGGTCCGGTCCGGGCAGCATGAAGACCAGCCTTGGCCGAAGACAAAGAAGGGATACTCCACCAAGACCTCCACGCTCACCTGCAGGAAGAAAGATGAAACAGCAATGAAAAAGCTCTGCTGTGCTCTGAGGCGCCTAAAAAACTTAAGCCACAAAAAATAAGCTACAACCTGGAGAATTAAAATTTTGCTCAAAAACCAACCATCTGGGCTGCCCGGATTTGGAAAGTAACAATTAACTACAACTATCACTTTTTTGTTTTAAAAACAAGAATAAAAAGATGGTGTTTTGTCTAAATTTAGCTGAATAATATACTAACTGGGACAAGCTGTCCTTAAGATCAACAAGACGATTATGTAATGACTGATTGAGCTGCATATTGTTGGTATAACAGTGGGAGAGAAATACAAACATTTACTAGAGATACGGGAGAAGAAATAAACCATAGAAACATATTGTGGTCTTAGATCCCATCACACAAAAGCAATGAAGTGAACAGAACGTGTCTTCTGCCGTGTTGTGTAGCTGCAGCACTGATTAGGTGTGCGTCATCATTAGTGTGTATGCCAGAGTGACGCGATAACAGAGGAGGCCTGGAGGCACGATGGGCTGGGAGGGGGGAAGAAATGCACCTGAGGAGAAAGAGGATGGAAGATCTGAAACATAGTAGAGAGCGTGAGAAGGTGGTGGGGGGGGTCAGGAGGGGGGGGAGTCACCGAGAGGGAGATGAAAAGGCGAGTTTGCAGAGGGAGGTTGTGTCGAACGAGAGGAGGAGAATGTGAAAGAGAACAATGTCAAGAGCGATGCAACGTAAGATGAATCAAACGACATGTTTTCCCTTCTGTATTATTATATTTTGAAGCTGCTGCCACTTCGCAGGAAGGAAATATATATAAATAACTAAGACGGGCCACTGAGGGAGTAAAAAGAAAAAAGAAAGAAAGAACGATTTTTTAAAGATTGTCAGCTTTTGTGGGACACGGTATCAAATGAGCAGCCGGGGCTGGAGGAGACGGTTAGAGATGTGCTGTGTGGGTGGACGAGGCTGGACCGTCGACAGTACTGGAAGTTAAGAGATTACTGAGTTCTCTGTGACCTCGACAGCAGGCAACTACATAGAGCAGCAGAAACACGATCAGCGCAGTGTGACTGAATGTGTGAAGCTCATAATCACAACATCAGTGCATTACAAAGGGAATGATAGCAGAGTTCTGTGAGGTTCACTGTCACAAAGTCATAAATAAGGGAGCAGCTCAATTCTTGTCATTTAAAATTTACAGCACCAGCTGAGAGAGAGCGTCGAAGAATCCTGCACAGATGCAAACAACCGCTGGCCCGATTAGCTCGGCGCCCTCCGCTCCGCTTTCCTCAGCAGTTCCACACACGTTCAGCGGGGGCGGCTACTTGCGTCTCACCTGTGCCCGGTGCTCGCCGACAGAGAACTGAACGGCGGCGAAGTCGGCCGAGGCGTGGCTCCCCTCGATGCGCTCCACCGTGGACGAGTCGATCTTCAGCTCGCTGCTGATCTCGGCGCTCTGGATGAAGTCCTCCGTCTTCAGGTCCTCCACGCGCTTCAGCTCCCCGTCGGCCAGCTGGATGATGGAGCCCTTGATGAAGTACGGCGGGAGGGAGGGGGGCACCGCCTCCGCACCGGATGAGTGAGCGGGGGCGCAGGGAGCGACCAGCCCCGGCGCGGCGGGGAGGTGAAAGATGGGCTCGGGACCACCGCCCCCGAAGAGCTCTGCAGATACGAGGGCACCGGCGGGCTCCGGGGGTTCCTCGCTCTTGGTGGTGGCGGCGGCGGCGACGTATGTGTGTGGGAGCGTGTGAGGAAAGGGCGAAGCCCCGGGACGACGACGTCACGTGAGAAGTGACCGGCTCCAATGTGGCGACTCCGCCCCCGCTGACGGGGATGATCACCGACTGGCCGCCAAGGAATGAGTAAGTGTTGTTGCAGGCCGGGGTGGTAGCCGATCGGCGCGTGGTGGCTCCCGCTGCCCCCCGCGATGTAGCCGATGATAGACGGCTGGGGGTAGATGGTGGAGGGCAGCCCCATCGACAGCGACTCCGTGGCGCTGTGGGTGGTCTGGATGACGGTCTGCGGCGACAAGGTGCTGACGGCGGCTTTCAGGCCGTCCGCGCTCAACGGGGTGGGAAAGGCGAAAGGGGAGGTGGTGCTGGAGGAGGAGGAGGAGGAGGAGGGGGTGCGATGGACAGGCTTGCCCAGGAGGACGCCGCCCTTCTCCAGGTGTGCGGTTTTCTCGGGGTTGGTTCTGGGCGGGGCCAGCTGGTGGTCCCCGTGGCTGTTGGGCATCAGCATGAAGGAGGTCCTCAGCTCTAAGGGGTCGCGAGCAGGGTAGTCTGAGTGCATGACCAGCTGCCGGGCCTCGTAGGGGGACAGACACGAAGCGGCCTCCCGGGACTTGCCCCCCGGCTTCGAGAGGCCGGACTCCTGGGACGCTCCGCCGAACCGCCGACCCCTCTCCAGCTCGCCGTTGTGGTGCTCTCGGGCCCTGGAGCCACTTTCCTCTTTCCTACCGGGCCGGTCCGCACACTGCACCACGAGGTGGGACATCCCATGGCCAAACGCATGGTGCGGGTGAGCGCCTCCTTGGTAGTGAGGCGACGGCACGGTCCGTGTCGAGGTTGACATCTGGACGTAGTGGGGGGCGTGGTCGGTGGACGGCGGCGGCATGGAGGTGCGCCCTGCGGACGGCCTGTGCTGGTCGTGCTGCTTGGAGGCGTGCGAGGGGGCCGGGGCCGCCTCCGCCAGCGAGTGTCTCTGCGCGGCCATGGAGGAGGAGGAGGAGGAGAGCGGGGGCGGTGGCGGGGGAGGGGGGAGGAGTTGAGGGGAGATGTAGCCGGAGTACGGGGCGTAGGGGGGCGCTATGAACTGCAGGTTGGGGGGCAGCTGCGCGTAATGCACAGTCCCTCCGACCGTGGACTGCGACAGGGGCGACGTGTACACGGCGGGAAGGGCCGAGAGCAGCCTCAGCGAGGAGGAGGAGGAGGAGGAGGATGAAGAGTCCGATGCGGAGAAGAGGGATTTACTCTGGAGGCCGTCGGACTGCCCGGAGCTGCGGTGTGCACCCCCGTTCCCGCCGGCCACGCTGGCCAGCCAGGCCATGTTCTCGCTGCGCTGGCTGTCGCTGGCGGGCGGGACGGGCGGCGGGCGGCTGTCAGACGCCAGCGTGCACGAGGGGATCTCCCGCTTCTTCGGGGGCAGACATTCGTTGCTGCGTTCGTGGCTGGACTTCATACTGACTTTGCTTTACGTCTCCAAACTGTACTTTGTTCCCTTTAACCTTTTATCTTTGTTCTCTCGGGTCTCTGGCTTTTTATTCCACTTCACAGTCACTTTTTCTCACTTTCAAATCTCTCCCTCAGTCTCTCTTTTGCTCTCCGATCAGCTCAAATAAGGCCGTTGATTATTGGGGCTTCGCTTGGCAACAAAGAAGAAGATCCAGACCGTACGGAGCCGGCGAGGAGGGATTAAAGATGGTGGTGAGTATGTTGAGGGGCAGTTCGAGGGGAGGCTGGGGCGGTCCGGGGGTCTTCAGTGGTTCGAGGGGCTCAGTGTGATAGCGCAGAGTGTCTCGTCGTCGCTGCTGCTGCTGCCGCCGCCGAGGACGACCGGGGGCCGAGTGCGTCGCACTTCATGCGGAATCATTTCCTTGTAAACGCAAGCCTGCCCACAGCCAGCGCGGTCCTGTGGAGGAGAGGGACGGACACGTTAGGATCACGATGTGCTTCTCCAACAGATGAATAGTTAAATACAGCAAAGTCTGTTTTTCTACCTAAGCGGCAAACATGACGATCCCCGAAATTCAAAGCAGCGCGAGCAAGTGCAGTGCTGTTGCTTGTATTGTCAATTCTGGGAGAGAGACACGTGATCCAGGAAACACGGGCCGAGACCAAATCTAAAAGGAGGACATTTGAGGCCACAGGGAAGACGTGCCCTGTGTCTTTAGGGGCTATTGTAACAGTCGGCAACAGGTTTGTTATTTATTCCTTCAACAGTTGTTGAGCAAGAAGCAGAATAAACACTGAAATAATCCAAAAAGTTATCAAGGCCTTACAAGAAGATGTACAAGAAGAAGAAGGCCCTTAATAATAATCCAAACTATTTCAAGGACCTTCCAGCACCTGCTGTACTTGGACATCTGATAACAAGCATGTGTGTGTGAGTGTGTGAGCCACATGTGTGTCTGTGCCATCTGTTAGCAAGGACCCCCTGCTGCAGAAGGATCTTGGTGTGAATCTCATAAATAATGGACACACACACACACACACACACACACACAGGCATATTCAATTATGCTGACACATGTCCTTTTACGGGCACACAGCTCAAGTTCACACATAAATACACACGTACGTGTGTATGTGCACACGTACACAGCGAGCAACCACAGCGACTACGATAAACATTTGTCTCATTAGAGGTTCGCAAAGTCAGTGAGTTATGTAACTTCAAAATGTGAAATCCAGCCCGATGCTTCAAAAGACTTCCGAAGGCCACCAAGAACAAAATGATGGAGGGACACTGGATTAAAGCATTTATTATTGTGCGTTTGGAAAAAAAACGATGATACCGTGGGCATTTATGTAGCTGGTCCGGCAACATCACACAATGTAATTGGCGCCCACGTGGCGTGACCTCTCGTACTAGTGATGTCTCTGAGTATCTGATCTCTGCGGCGGCGAAGCCTCAACGTATTTAATCTTTCAACCGGAGAGAATGGGTCAACACCTCCGAGGCCTCCAAAAGCCGCGTTTGCTCATTACCAATCGTGCCCACTGTGCGTGTGTGTTAGTTAGCGTGTGTTTTCCTGTGGAAAAAGGCACATTTACATCTGAAGCAGATTCCTGTGAAGTGTCTCTTTGCTACTCTCACACAACTGTGGAGTAAACACACATGCAAACTGCCATGCAAAAACAGCAAAAGAACACACACGCAGGCTTTGTTTTATGGTAGTGAAAACACACACACACACACACACTTTCCCAGGCAAGCAACATCTGTTCAATCAAGCAGGCATGACTCAGAGGTGCTGTTGATTGGCGAGCTTTTAGCACTGATATGCACTCTGCCGTGCGTCTCCCTCCCTCCCCCCGGCCTCAGCCTGTCCACCTCCCCTCCTTCACCGCTCCATTCTCAACTAGCAGAGCTTCTCCTCCCTCGGCATCCTGTCACGTTATCCTCACGCGACTCGCTGAACGTGCTCCACGAGCTGTTGGCTTGTAGTAAAACCTTTTGCGATAAAGAGGAATATTCGGCGTCTCTGAGCTCTGAGATCAGAGACATAATCGGCCGTCACATCAAACGCTGACAGAGTGTGTAGATCCAGCAGCCGTCTACGCCACACAGCTGGTGTTTCATGCAGTGAAGTGCAATAAGCATGGATTGCTATGGGCGGCGTTGTTACTGCAAGAGACGGGGAGTAAACTACTACTACTACACAAAAACAGGGGTTTGTCTTACAGCGAGAACTGTAAATTAATCATTGTAGGAAAACAATATTTAGCCATTTAGTTTCATCGCATGAAGGTAATACGACAAACTTGTTTGCTGACGCCTGTTAGTATTTATTTAGACATCTATGTGTTTGTGTCATTTAATCAATTGTTAATATGAAAATATCGATTAGAGCAGCTTCAGATAAATTCCTGCAGGAGCCGAGGGTCACAGACGGACCCTTAACCGACTTCATTAGAGAGCTTCCCTGCAGCGTTAGTGGAGATTTAAAGAGGGAGACGGAATAAAAAAAGAGGCCGAGTGAGGGAGAAGAAGCTGTGAACGAGACAAAGTCTCACTGTAAACTCCTCAGATCACACTTTCTGGGATGCGGGGTGCAGACATGAGGAGGGGCGAGCTCAACTGACCCACAATGCACGCAGAGCATCGCTCCACTAAAACCGACTCACTGAGAATCTTGCTGAGTTTGCATCTGTGTGTGTGTGTGTGTGTGTGTGCGTGATATCAGATGACGTGTAACACCAGCCGTCTGTCCTCCATGTGCTTCAGTCTCTCTCTCTCTCTCTCTCTCACACACACACACTCCCCCCGGCCCCTCACACACACACACACACACACACACACACACACACACACACACACACACACACACACACACACAGAGTCACAATGATCCACCAAACCAAAGTCTCTGTGTGGATGTGAGTCAGTAACCTGAATCGTTCACTCATGCGCTGTACTATTGTCCTTCTACGGTCAAAACAGTGGAGGTTCTCGGGTTTCTCCCCCCCCCACACACACACACGCGTTACACACGTACTACTGGATTGTAAAATACTCACACATGTTTTGATTAAAAAGGAGGTACCTTTCATGTACCAATTATGTATAAAAACATATAGTTACATATAGTTGTTATAGTTACATGTTAAATGAATAGGTTAAAACATCTAGCGTTCTGTAACTCAAACTGTAATGTGGTGCTTTGCCTTCATGGCATCCGGTCTACAATAATAAGGGCAGCAGCACTGTTACTATGGTAACCCCATCACGAAGTGTTTACAGCCAGGTCAGACATACAAAGACACGCGCATTGGGTTTAATAGTTCTACAGTACGTAAGATACAAAGTAATGAATTTTGCAGCAGTAAATGTGTGTAATGTTTTTCAACAATACATACATGTAAGGAATGTGTCCCTCGTCTATACAGAACGCTCTTAAGATGGAATGCAACATTATCATTGCATCGCTATGTAATAAACGTCACTGAACACGACATTATCACTTTCTATTTCAAAGAATTCAGTGTTAAACCCTCGTTATTACGTTCTGTTGATGGAATTAAGTGGAGCCGGGGGCCCAAAGCGTCCAGACGACCTGGGAGCTGTTTGTTTTTTACTGAAGATGCCCCGCCATCGACACAAAGACAATGTTCATCTCACAATATGATTAATAATTATCAACTAACTTGCCACTCTGTGGTCTCCAAAAGCTTTTAGATAAATGTGAGTGTGTGTGCGTGTGGGTTTGTGTGCGTGCGATTGCGCAGTCATCATCATAATTGTGATCAGAGGGATAAGTCCAGCGTGAAGTGTCGTCTCACTGCTAAATATAGTCCAGCTGGAAAGTACGCTGGAGGTGCTGCAGGCTTATGCTCCTCTCTCACTCTCTCACTCTCTACTTCCTCCAAGTCTCTCTGTAGTTTTTTGCCGTGGGTTTTTTTCATCAGTGCGGGTGTGTGTTTGCGTTTGCTCGTCGGTACCGTTGGTGAACAGTGCAGACTGGGAGCTCTGACAAGACGGCAACTTCCCCCCCTCTCACTGTCCGCTGGGGATTAAACACAAACAACAACAACAAACACACACACACACACACATATGGTCAGATAGTTGGAGAGTAATGGAGGATCTGCAATCGACAGACGGAGCGTTAGAGGAGAGGGAGAGAGTGAGGAGGGGAGCAGAAGCGAGGTAGAGGGATATAGTGGTAAAGAAAGAGAGACATAGAGGGGAGTGTTTGGGAGGCAAATGACTGGGAGTCTCTTTTGTAAAAAAAAACCCAAACACTTAAGGCAGCGTCGCATGACTTGCACTTTCTCACCTCTCAATAACCCTCTGGAAGGGAGGAGAAACACAGAGCCCGATGGAAGGAGAGGAGGGGGGAGAGGAGGCGGGGGAGGAGGGGGGGAGGAAACACCAGCGCTCTAGAAATGAGCATCGACGGTTGTAGGAAAAACTAGGACAGACGCAGTACGCACTTATAAACGACAAACTGTGATACAACGAGACGAGCTTTGGGGACTAACGGGTGTATGCCGACTCTCTCTCTCTCACACACACACACACACACACACACACACACACACACACTCACACTGTGCAAAGTGTACTTACCAGGGCAGCCGGTGGAGCCCACTTCTGCAGCATGCCCGCCCCCTCCATCTCATTCCTGCTCTCCCTAAACTCCCCCCCTTCTCCTGCTCTGCCCGGGTCCCTTGTAAAGCGCCCCGAGTCTCCCTCTCCGTCTCCCTCTCTCCCCCCTCCAGCGAAAAATCCTGAGCAGATTCAGTGTACCTGTGCCACAAACTGCTCGCGGCCTTTTCTCAAACCACGGCCCCCCTGCCTCTCCCCTCTCCCCCCACTACATAACAGCCCTCTCTCGTCAATCTTAAGAGCGAGGGGGGAAGCTCCCGAACTCCGAGTGATACGCAGCGCTCAGGTGATCACACACACAAACAAAATCGGTAGCACACACTCGCACACGCCCACGGGGAGGGAGTCCCGCATGCAGAGCTCCAACCGCTATTATGCAAGGGGCCGAATGTGAGCCAGAGCTCTCACACTGCCTGCCCCCCCCCACCACACACACACACACACACACACACACACACACACACACGCACAGCCCCTCCCACGGTTTGCTCGGCCAACTTCATCAGGTATTCATTCAAAAAACACACACACGCCAGCTGGCTTCCCGCCCAGAGACCGCTTACAAGCAGAGACTAGAGAGGGAGGGAGGGAGGAGGTTACAGCGAGAAGGGAAGAGAGAGGGAGTGTGGGGGAGAGGAAGAGGGAGGGAGGGAGCGAGTGAACGGTAGAGATTATAAAGAGAGAGTACACAAAAGACACACATGGAAAACAAACAAATGTATACGTGTGTCTGGGGCAGGAACTATTGTTAATCTTTTGAGTGTTTTCTACACTTGATGCATTAGGACACACGATCT